TGCTATCCACTCCTCAGTTAGAACTTGACATTCCCGTTGCTCTTCGAAAAGGTAAACGCAAGGGTACCTATCTTATTTCTTCTTTTATCAGTTATGATCATCTTTCTTCTTCATCTCGTTGTTTTGTAAGTAACCTAGACTCTGTTTCTATCCCTAAAACTGTTGTCCAAGCTTTGTCCCATCCTGGTTGGTGTGCAGCAATGAAAGAGGAGATGACTGCCCTAGATACTAATGGTACTTGGGATTGTAGATTTAATGTGGGAAAATAATTTTTTCTGTATTTGATTCATCAATAGGGACACATATATATACACATACAAAATACTATAAACCTATTAGGAATCTAACATTATTACCTATATGGAATCTAACTTTCCTAATATGAGTTCTATTTCAACTAATCCTTAACACTCCCCCTCAAGTTGGAGCATAAGATATTAATCTATTGCCGGTAAACTTGTTTTACAAAGATAGTGCTCAACCCGGGTATCCGTTAGGAAGCTTTTTGTAAAGATTATCCTCCTAACTGTTTCACGATTGTTTTAAACGTATCCTGTTAGAGATAATACCCTGTTGTATCTTCTTTCACCGATATGTAATGACAATCAATCTGATATTGTTTTGTTCGTTCATTGTTGAGGAATACTGGATTTGAATGCAATTGTGAAGAGCTAGCTGTTTTAGTCACACCAAACTTTGCAGGCAAAGGATGACTTGATTAGCCAATTTCCTCTAACAACTGACAGATCCCAAATTAATTTCACAAGTTCAGATTGATGCTCATATGCTCGATATTCTGATTCAGCACTCGTATCTCGTGAGACCTACATTTTGTTTCTTGCTCTCCATGGATATCAAGTTTCCAACTCATACAAACGACTACAATATCCTGAGTTTGATCTTCTATAACCTCCGAACTCTGCCCAACCCGTATCTGTAATTAACATCAATGTTTCAAATGCCTATGATTTAATCTGTAAGTCCAGGCCACGACTGGATTACCTTTCCAAACACAAAATCATAGTTTAAAGAGCCATTCAGGCTTCTGATACCATGTGAGATTTTAAAATGTTGGGAATAATTTTTTTCTGTTATTTGATTCATCATAGGGACACATTAATACACATACAAATATTATCTATGTTAAACGTATTAGGAATCTAACTCCTAATAGAGTTCATTTATTTAAACTTAATTGTCCTTAACAGGTATCTTTGGTTCTCTCCCGGCAAGTAGATATAGATATTGTTGTAAGTGGGTTTCACAATTAAATGATCTTGAAATGGGTCTATTGCTGCGTTACTCATAGCTTCAAATTGCTAAATGTTATTTCTCTAGATTTTATGGCCATTGATCACTTCTGATTACTTTTTTTCTCTCTGGCCAAATTGTTTCTTTCTGTTCTGTTTGTTTATTTCTTTAATCAGCTACATTTTGTATTGGCTCTTTACATCTAGCTGGATTGTTTAAGAACGCTTTTCTTCATAGGATCTTCAGTGAGGTTAAGTTTACATGATCCAACCACCCAGCGGTTTTGGTTGGCTTCAGGGGAGTCGAGTCAAAGTGTGTAACTTCGAAAACCTTTATGGCCTACAATAAGTTCCTCGATGCTTGGGTTTGGGCATGGATTTGCAATTGTGTGTACAGGTCCAATTTGGCATGTCAAAAGAGTAACTTCTGATATCTGTATTCAGAAGTACTAAGACTGGTTTGTATTCCTATCTTGGGTTTTATGTTGATGACACTGAGTTTATACAGGTGAGTGATTCAGCAGGCATTTTTATCAATTCACTCAAGTCTATTTTTCTCCAGACTCCAGTTTCCAGACAAAAGAGTTTAGTGATTGTTGAAAGTATTTTTTTGGATATTGAAGTATCTAGGTGTAAGAGCAAGGTCTATCTTTTTTATCTTAAAGGATTGTATGTCCTTGACTTATCTGAAGAAAACTGAAATGATTTGGTGCCAAGGCCAGCAGTGCTCCAAGTGACTTCCTAATTTGCCACTTTCAATTTGGTATGTGAACTATTTGATGATCTCTGAGATGTTATAGAAGATTGGTGGCAAAACCTGAAATTATCTTAGGTAATACTACGTCCAGAATTGCTTATTCTAACACGTCCAGATATTGCTTACTCTGTGAGCTTCTTAAGCCAGTTTATGCCTTCTCTTACTGTTATCCATTGGGAAGCTTTAGGACAGATTTTGTGCTCCTTGAAAGGTAATCCAGGCCGTGGCCTCCTTTACAATAATCATGGGCATTTGGACATTGAGTGCTTTTCAGATGCAAATTGGGCAGGTTCGAAGGTTGATAGAAGATAAACTTCAGGATATTGTGTCTTTGTGTGTGGAAACTTGATATCGTGGAGGAGCAAGAAACAAAATGTAGTCTCACGATCAAGTGCTGAATCAGAATATCGAGCTATGGCACAATCTGCTTCTGAATTAATTTGGATTCGTCAGTTGTTAGGAGTTCGTTATGTTTGTTAGAGGAAATTGTGCTTCATAAGTCGTCCTGCCTGCATAAGTTATGGTGGATATATCTAGCTTCTCTCACAGTTGCATCAAATTCCAGTATTTCTATGATACGTAATTCAATAACATATAGATGATTGATTGTCATTTTCATTCGTGAAAAGATACACAAGGTGTTAGTCTCTACAGGGACTTTACAATGTGATACATTATGAGTATCGTTACAAAAGCTCTAAATGGGTTCGGTTAACTATCTTTTGTTTAACATAGTTGGGCATGATCAATCTATCTAGTTGCCCTCCAACCCTCTGAGGGAAGTGTTAAGGACTAGTTGTAAATTATAGTTTTCTGTTAGTAGTTAGATCCTTAAATTAGGTTTTATATGTTATCCTGTATATATTTATATATGTGTGTGTGTGTGGTTTGTGTCTAATAGGTTTATAGTATCCTGTATATATATATGTGTGTGTGTGTGTGTGTGTGTGTGTGTGTCCCTATTGATGAAATAATTACAACAAATATTTTTTCCACACTGAATTACACCTTAAATATACCTTCCTTAGCTACATTCCTCATGTATATAAATACTAGCTATAAAATGTACTTGGACACACATCTTTGTCAATAAATTGTAGCTTTAAGAGAAGTTTCTGTCAATGTAGGCCATTTGGCTGAAGTCTCCTATCTTGTCTTAATTCTCTTCTCTTCTCTTCTTTCATATTATTCTAAACTTTTAAATTTACCAAAGCTGTTGCAAAAAACAGGTTTCTGTGCTCCATCTTCAAGGGGAAAGTTATAAATTTATAGGTATTTGAGTATTTTCTCTTGTTATGGAGACCATATCGGTAATATGTATATATATTTTTGTTTAACCAAGTCTGAAGGTCTACAGCTTCTCAAAATACTTCTCTCTTTCTGTCTTTTGTTCTCTCCCAATAACAGTTGCAAATATTGCCTTCTCTCAAGATTCCTTAGTGTGCAATTAGAACTTAAGGTACCTCTTTGGGGATAAAGATGTGTCGTAGCAAAACTACTCAAAGAACGTGAGTGGCGTATAAATGAAATTTTTCTACCAAAGGTATAGCCAGATGGTATTATTAATTAACAAGAAAATGTTGACAAAGATCAAAAACACTAAAAGGTAAAACCTTTCTATGAGAAGAACAAAAGTTTATTAAAGCTGCGGTTGGTAGGAAAGAAAGGAAAGAAATGAATCTTCATTTTTTTTATAGTTGGTCCTCAGTCGAAGAACGTAACCTATATCATATACCAGATTCCTTTCCTTCCTATTTTGTATCCTCCTTACCATACAGAAAAGGGAATCACATTGTAGACAGGGGCAGACACAGAGGGGGTTAAGGGGGGCTGTGCCCCCCACCAAAAAAAAAAAAAAAAAAAAAAAAATTGTAGACGGGTCAGACACCAGAGGGGGTTAAGGGGTGGCTGTGCCCCCCTACCTAAAAAAAAAAAAAATAAAAAAAAAATTTCAGTGTAAAACATTTTGAGAAAAAAAATATTTTATTGTTTTGCTCTCCATAATTAAGTATGAAGTTTATTTTTATGCCCCCCTACTATTTGCTGGCTGGGTCCAGCTACTGATTCTAGAGAGCTGTCCTCTTCTATTAGACTGAACTCAACAAAGAGAGTTACGATTAGCAACTAGAAGGATGGAGGAAATACTGTGACGTTGAGTTAACCTGGATATCCCCTCTAAACAGTGATTAGAATTTACATTATCTTGGTGATGTAATTACTTTAGACTTCTGCTGGTGAGATTACAGCTTGGATATAGGATCCCATATGTAAAACCAATCTTGCAGTATAATTTGATGAGTGGAGATTGTATAGTAGTTAATCAGGAAGTAGTAGCATTGCTGTGTCAGTTTTCCCCAGCCTGTCCAATTTGGGGTTGGAAGCAAATTTTGCAAAAAACTAATTTTCCATAACCCACAATCTTATAATTCTTCATACAGGTGATTCTTTCAAATCTCAGAATTACGGCAAAAGGCATCACGAAGCATTGATTAACCCTCTGCTACAAAGAAAAGGGTACGCAAGGGTTGTATCGTGACAAATAAATAATTTGAATCAATCACTCTCATTGAACTCATACCATCAATATGAATAGTAATTCACAATTGGTTTTCTTTTCAAAATTCCAATCAATAATGACATTTCAATTTGTGCTCTGATAGAAAGTAGATTAAAACAAATATGTCCATTTGCCACGATATTTAACTATATTAGATAAAGGTATAAGAAATATTCTACATAGTGTGGATTACCTTATATGCCAAACTAATGAATTATGTTAGAAAAAAAAAAAAAAAAAAAAAAAATTCAGTGTAAAACATTTTTGAGAAAAAATATATTTTAGTTTTGCTCTCCATAATTAAGTAAATTATTTTTTGGCCCCCCTAACTATTTGCGCTGGGTCAGCTACTGATTCTAGAGAAGCTGTCCTCCTAAACTAACCAACAAAGAAGTACAAGCAACAGAAGGATGAGGAAAACTGTGACGTTGATTACCTGGAATCCCCAAAACAGTGAAAATACATATCTGGTGATGATACTAGACTCTGCTGTGAGATTTACAGCTTGGATATAGATGCCATATGAAAAACCATCTTCAGTAAAACAGGAAGTAGCATTGCTGTCGTTTTTCCAGCTTGTCCAATTTGGGTTGGAAGCAAATTTTGCAAAACTATTTCCATACCCACAATCTATGAATTCCATACAGGTGTCTTCAATACCAGAATTACGGCAGGCATCACGAAGACATTGATTAACCCTCTGCTACAAAGAAAGGGTACGAGGGTTACGTGACAATAAATAATTTGAACATCACTCTCATGAACCATACCATCAATGAAAGTAATTTCACAATTGTTCTTTTTCAAAATTCCAATCAATTAAGACATTCAAGTGCTGAATAGAAGTATAAAACAAATATGTCATGCCAGAATAACTAATAGAAAAGGTATAAAATATTCTACAATGTGATACATATGCCAAACTAATGAATTATGTTACAAAACCAATTCGCATGAAATAAATTTTCATAGTCATTTGATCTCATACACATGTAAGATTCCATTAGAGTATTGATTTGAAAAATGCCAAATCATTCACAAAATCACAGGCATCCATGGAAATTCTACTCAAGTTAATAAGTGTCTACAATGTTTAACATTCTGCTTGGAAGTTGTTACAAAATCCACACATGCAGTTTACTTTGATTGAAATCCAGAATAGAATCATATTACCATAATATTAAATGAAAAGCAGAAGAAAAATATTTAGTTTCAGAGTTCATATTGCATAACATGTCCTTTTGTACTGAAGAGAAAAGAACTAATTGAAGATGAATTATGCTCAGTAACCAAAGATGAAACCATGCATAAAGTGTATCAAAGGTATCACATAATCACATTGTGAAAGGAGCATATAGTAAAGTGCAAAGATTTATGAAAAAGTTTGCTGACCTGCAACCCAAAGAGGTACCAGCTCGACCCAACAACATGTCCAGACAATATAAAGGTAAGCAGATTTATGAAAAAGTTTGCCCGTGCTGTCTCAAATATGAAGCCGCTAGGAGATACACCAACAAGGAGAGGTAAAAACCTATACAACCTGGGAATGTACTGGACAAGAACTGCCGCTCGTAAAAGGTTTTTGGCATAATTTGCTCCAGATGATCCCAAAATGTCTGGTAAAACCACTAGTATCATAATCTGCACATAGTTACCATCAAAATGAAACATGTGCCATCGAGTGCTGCTGTAAATGTATAGATAGACACAGCTGTTGATTACAAATATATGTGGGAAACTAGACATTACACCAAAAATCATTTTATAAGCGGTAACATATCTTTTCTTGAAACTATATGTTTTTTTTTTCTAAGAAATTTACCATTTTAGGGGTACTAACCACTTTAGCTCAGGGTTCTAAGTGCATATTCATTCAACCCTTTCCTACATTACCCAGCAATTTCAAATTATATTTACAAAAAGAGGTTCACAAAGCTCACAGCGAATATTTATATGAAACGCTTACTGAAAATACCTACAAAATTTTTCCATGGAAATTATTTTCATTTTGTCCTTTTCGTTAACTAGCCATCTTTGTGCTCTTGATGATCTTGTGTTTCACATAATAACAAAGCCCAAAGTATGCCATTAGAATCAATTATCATTCTAACCTAATTATTTTTTTATTTATTTTTATTTTTCCCAATGTATATTAAAAATACCAGGTTCAATTTAACATATCTATTAATAATTTGGAGTGAGGAGTCACGAGTTCAAGATTCAACCCTTTTACTTGACAACAAAGGGAGAGAGAGAAAGCGTTGGTAGGAAAGAGTAGCTGAAAAATTGCAAGTTTGTTGCCTTACTGTTGCAATGATCAATTACATTAAGCCTCTGTATATACAAGGTCCTACCTCAAATGCTAACTACATGAAATCTTCATAATTAAATGCTTATATGCATAAGAAACACACAAGTCAAATATAATGGCATGAACAAGTCAAATATAATCGCATACAATCTGACGAAAAGGCATTTCAAAGTTCCATAAGTTGAGTGCATTTGCAAAACGAATAACTAATTATGGGAGTTACTACTCACTGCAAGTTAGCTTATAGTCCTTCAGCATTGTTCAAAAGTACCTACTTAGGACTCAAGGAGCCAATATAAACTAAGCTTTGACATACTCAAGCTAACTTGAAGGGCTCCAAGTGCAGTCTATCTCACTCTTAAGCACTCATCTTTCATCACCTACCACATAATACCAAGCCTGTTTGAGTTACCCAATTCTCTCTCTCCATATCTCCCTTGTGCATGACTTGTATGCTACACGACACGTCATCCACTTCATTAACAAATATACATATGTAGATTCAATCATAGGCTCAGTTGACTTATGATACTATTATCATTATGAATTGGATAGTATAATGCTATAATAGTACGACATTAAAATTAAATCAAATATTTCTCACCAATGAATTTATATAGTGAAGATTAAGTGCTAAAACACTAGCCACATAGAAAATGACTTCAGAAATATTGCTTGAACAGCACGAGAAACAAATTAAGAAAAGTGCATCTCAATGTTCTAATTTTGCAAGTTGGGAAGGATCATCCAGAAAACACAGAACATCTCCAAGGGTATTGCTTGGAAGGCATAAGATACAAATATACATAATAAGGTAGTTATGCATGCAATTAACCTCCCAAACCTGATCCAAAAGCCTAAAATTTGATATTTTAAGAACTAGATATTTTAATCATATGCATATAGATGCAGCATTTTGATTCATAAGTCACCAGCAATATGAAGAATGAAATAAACTTACTTGTGGAAGTGGTAATACAATAAATAAGTCAACAAAAAAATATCCACGAAGGTAGTGCAAAGCAATTTTCTTTGGATGGTCAACTAATTCTCCAGCACCAACAACTCTAGACTCAGGAGCTATATAAGCCAACCTAAACTGCAGAGAAATAAATGAAGTAATTAGTTCAAGTAATTGTTTCAATTGAAAAATTATTAGTTCCGAGGTGTTTAATTGTAAAATTTTATATTGAATGGACAAGCCTGGAGCAATTTTTAAATCACAAAGAGTAGGAAAATAATGCTTTCACCATTTATTTCGCAAAAAAAAACCTAAAAAAAATTTCCTGGAAAACATAATCTACATTTTCTAGCATTTGGCTCACTCAAGATAATAAATAGACAGAAAATATTTTCCTGGTCAAAAGAACTGATTATTGTTATAGAATCAAGTAAATCTAGTATTCACCTATTCTATGGGTTTATTTTTTGTTTGCTGATTTTTTAGGATGTCTAAATCCAAATGGACTATTTTTCCCAATAGTTAACAAAGTATATGGCCAAAATTGCAACAAGAAGTGATCTCTAGGGCACTGCTAGATCCTAGATGATGAGATATAAATAACAATACAAAATAAACAAATATATAAATAACATTAGGTAAAGAGATGAATACCTGAAGAAGTATGTTCAATAAGTATATGAAATCAGTTATGCTCCTAAAAACTACAATTGCCGTAGTCAGAGGCCAGTTAATAAATATGCACCTATTATCCTGCATCCAAGAAACAGAGGAACCATGAAATTCCTAAAAGGATACAGGCTAAAATAATTAACCAAGGGGAATATCCACATAAAGCCTGGACAGCAAAGAAGCAGCAGCAGCATTAACAACATACACAATATACCAGGCCCCCTAATAATTCATACATGGAAAGCAAGAAATAGTGAATCTAGAGGAAGTTATTCAAAATCTCAAGCTGGACTTCTCTTTAGATCTGGAATAATCAAGTTCAGATACAAATACCCTCTCATAAAGTTTCATATCATAAAGTCCATTTAATAAAATTTCCTTCAATTTCAGGGAGTAAGGATGTGTTGCCTTGGAAATGTTCTAGATTCATTAAATTGAAGACATGGTATCATGTAGAAAATAAGTATAATGGGAAGGAACCATCAGTCATGCATGGAGACAAAAATAATGAAACATCCAAATTTGACAAACAACCAGTAAATAAGGGGTCATTGACTAACATTCTTTTCTTCTTCCACTTATGGTAATATACACCAAGATATCCAATAACCAATTAGCATTTGATATAATGTCTCTAATTCACATATCAACATAGAAACACACAGAGAACCTTATGATTTATTTCCATTCTATTCAAGGTCTGAAATCTAATGTAGCTTTACCTTCTGCACAGAAAGCAAGAAGAAATATAAAGGGTCTATAAAAATTGCCAACAAGCAAGAAATGACAAAAAACTTGTTCCATTGTTGAACAACTCTGGTATGAGGATTCATAACTCCAGGAATATATGGACTTAGAAAAGATATGAATCTCCTTGCCCAACCTTTAGCGTCCCCATAGAGAACATTATGGAACTGAAAAAAGAAAAGAAAAGGAAGAGTTGCATAAGCATGTTAATAGGAAATAAAACATAGGGACAACAGGCGCGACAAACTATGGTCGAGCAAAATATACAATATATCTTACAACATCAAGCCAATTTGTGTTTCTTTCCCCTTTATCATTCTTCCCTACTTTCTAACTCCTCTATAATTCAGGAACTTGACCTACTGTTCACAGAATAATAAAAAGCCCCTTGCAAACTTCAATTAATCCAGAAATAATTTCCTCCACAATTTAAGCAATGTAAAAACTGTGTGCAGTATAAAAACTAATGTGTGCACAACAGGGATGACTTATTTCCAGCTGAAACATTAGAAGCTTCAAAAAGTACAAGGCTTGCAAGATGCAACAGAACCATGAGTGCATATATATCATAAATATGGCTTTTCCGTTGCTCAAAACTTTAGAAAAAGAATTAAACTCGACTATAGATCCCATAATCGATACTCAAGCTTTGACAGGAAAATCTGACTAATATGATGGAGATATCCATTAAAGTGATAATTGTGAAAAGCTAGTTATTTGGAGTTGACATCTCCATCCATTATGCAGATAGAACCTTCAACTCTCTTTAATATAAAAAAAATACGCCACTAAACATCTAGATCATATTTTAGAATAAAACAAATATGCCAGATTGAGAAAATTTCTAGTTTCTTTTCTTTTAAGAAACTAAAAAGGTATAAAAAAAAGTTTACCTTAGGGTCAAATAAAACTGAAGCTTTTGAATGTTTCTGCTTTACTGGTTTAAAATTGTAATATGTTGGGCATGTTGTGCAATAAGGATCATTGCATATTCCCAATTGCCCAGACCGCAGTAAATGTTCATTTTTGCCAGCATATTTGTCATTTGTCCAATCTTGCTGATCCATCCCATTAAAAGAAGGAAATTTTTCAGCCTTGGGTTCTACTATTTTGTGACTTTTATCAGCTTTACGATTGCTATAGATTGGACCACTCATCTGTATCATTGGAACTCTTCGCTCACTACGCAATGGACCAGTATAACCTACAAGGTTGACTTCATTTTCATAGGAATCCATGGAGTCCATAGGAATTGAGATCGAAGCACTCCGAGTCCTGGAAATAAACGCCTGAAATCGAGAATCCACATTTTCATCAAATAATCGGGGCTGTACATCTGACAGCATTGGCACCTCATCTTTATCATAACTAGCCATGTTTGATAAATAAGACCTACAAAAAGAACACAAAGGTTTGTCAGTATTCAAGATAAATAAATGCATGTACTATCAAGCAACTATTTCATGAAAAAATAATCAAACATTAATTTGATAAGAAATAAAATAACAACTGAAAAAGAAGAAGGATAAAGCTCTTGAGCTTCAAATCCATAACAAAAAGTATAACATCAATACCTCAAAAAGACAACAGTTCTAGCTCCTAACCATCTACTATGCTACGGCAGGTGGCACTTAGCTTACTGTGGCATTGCTGTTCAATGTTAATCCAAAAGACACCCCACTAGAGCAAATTCTTGGCAAAAATGTCTTACCTCGTCTACCCTACCCCTTTTACTAGAGCTTCTTCTTACTCTATAATACTTTAATATGCTTGGTTGATAAACCTAAATGTGCACACAGACACACATACACACACACACAAATACATGCAAATATAGTAAGTATATTTATGCATGCACGAAGCTATATATGCATGTATCTTCTGATGAGTTCTTCATTTCTACGTTTGTCATGTGACTGATTACACATAAACTCGGTGGCTGTCAAACAAATAGTCAGCCTGTCTCCAGACAACAATTGGCTGCATGCTGCTTGTTCATTATCCGTGTTGTTCTCTTCGGGTACCATATCACTGAAAGCTTTATCTGAATTTCTGTGCAACCTACCACAAACTACCTTTGCCATAATCTATCCAATGCCTAACCATTCCATGAAAGATTTTGACATAGAAAATCAAGTCACTAAAAAACTGAAACTAGTTACTCTATTTTAGTGTGTGTAATTTGAACATATTGAATCAAGAACGTTAATTATATTAATAAGCCAATCCCAAATGTGAGCTAATTAAAAGTCCATTCATTTTTTATCAGATACAACAACCCAAAAAGAGAAAAAGCAAGCTAATTGAGTATTTTTCAATCCAGATTCCATAACGTTAAAAGTGGATAAGAGTAAGTAAATTTAAACATGGCATAAGCAAGCATGTAGTAAGTCAAAAATGATAGTAACCATTCAACTTTTTGCATAATTTTGTTTGAAATTAAAGATAAAACCCAATTTGATGAGTGAGCTGCATTTGGAGCCACTGAAAGAGAAAAGAAAAGCGCTAAAGATCATGAAAATGTAGAGATACGAACCTGGAAACCTAGAAGCAGGAGCCAACTAGATAAAGCAGCCAAAGTGCTTCTTCATCATCATCAAAGCCATGCATAGATATTCAGCAGCTAATTACAAAGACGAGAGATTGTGGAAGAGAAAGACGACTTATCAAAAGTCTAGAGACAGAGACAGAAAGAGCGAAGACTTTGAAAAGTCAGTCAGTCTCTGTGTCAGTCGCTCCTGCCGTCCAGCGTGTTAGGGTCATTTTCGATTTTAATTGTTACGTACCCACTGGGCTTTCCACGTGGCACTTGTTTATTAGGCAAACACACTTTATATTATATCCTATAAAGTAAAACATTCCCCGCCCTTCATATGGCAAAGATACGTGTCAATTTTGTAAAACCCTACATCCCCAAAATCTCCTTGGGTTTTAATTGAACCAGTCATATATGCAAATAAAATATTCATATATAATGGATTCTAAAATATTTATAATTCGGTTTAGAATTTTATCCAAATCAAACCTACAATAGCAATTTATAAAAAATTTAAATTAAATCAAACTATGAAATGTATGTGATTAAATTTTTTTTTTTTTAGAAAAATCAAATTAGAATTTCATTAATTGGAAACTGTGTATACAGATATGTGACACATATCAATATATTTCTATATTTTTATATAAAAAAAACCTAATAATAAACCACTTATGCCAAAAATAAAAGAACACAATCTTGATTTAAAGTATCTGATCGAGTTGACAGAGCATAATAATATTTGCGCCATAAATGATCGCTTGCTCCACAACAATATTTGCGTCGTAGATGATTGCTTGCTCCGCTTAGTGGCTATTCAAGACCACTGTTTATAAACGTAGTTAGATATAATTTGATAGTTTTAATGAAAAAAAATTCAAATATAAAAAATTAAATTTCAAATACACTACATTTAAAGATTAAATTACAAAACAAAATTTTATATATATATACACATAAAAATTAAAAATAAAAATAATATGAAAAATAAACATAAAAATATTATGTTGTTCAAATAACTTCCTAAAAAAAAAAAACTAAAAACAATACTTGAACCTTTTCTCCTAATTTCTATTAATACAAGCAACAAAAGGAAAGAGAGAAATTAAACTTTAATTAATTTTTGCATCAAATACAAAATTACAATTCAAGTAAATGAATTATGTTTAATCATCTTATGCAATTTCTTCAATTTTCCAACATCATCCAAAATTTCTTGCAATTCAATTGTATTAGAAATAATCTTTAATGACTTTTTTTTTTTTACAAACAACTAGTGCAAAATAAATTATGGTTTTAAAGTTTAAAATTAAATACAATTAATATAATTAGTTACTTCAACATATTGTGATTACCATTTATTTATTTACTCATTAATTTCAATTTAGTGCACTTGAAATTAAAGCTTTAATTAATTAATTAATTTATTAATTAATTAATTAATTTATTATTATTATTATTATTATTAGTATATAGTTTTAATTATGCATTTTAATTAAATTACATTAGTTTCGTTTCATTTCAATACACTAAAAATGACCTAAAACAATAAAGAAAATGGTTAAGATTGAAGCCTGAACGCACCTCAAATTTAATTAAATAAAAGGAGCAAAAGTCACTATTAAGAGTAATTTTAGCATATAATGCAATATTGCCAACAAAGATATATTACAGATATTGCAAAACCAAGATAATAATCATTCAATCTCAATCTGTTGTGGTACTTCTTCCTGCTTTGATCCTTCTGCATCAATATCTTCTACTGTAATACCAGCGGCTTCCACAGTTCTTGTCACCCATTCTTTAAGTGGGTCTTCCTCCAAATCCAGTCTTAGAAGCCCTGCAAAAATCCCTCCCATGAAAGCAACTGGCTCCTATAGAGAAAACAACAATATTAAATCAGCGGTGAGAACTAGGGGTATAAATTAGCCAAGCCGGCTCGAGAGCTCGAGCGACTCATTAGCAAACGAGTTGAGCTCGAGCGTAATGATGTTCAGCTTGAACGCTTGTTGAGCTTTATCGAACTTCTATATATACATATATTATTTATTTTAAACTTATTTGAGCATCAAGCCTCGAGCTTAAAAATTTTCAAGTCGAACTCGAGCCTAAAATTTTCAGGCTCGTCGAGATCCGAGCCTGGCAGGTTTGAGCTCAGCTCATTTACACCCCTTGAGAGCAATATTAAATCAGCAACCATTTTGTCAAGAAATGAACTAAACTAGCAATTCTTGAATTTCACTCTCATTATGGCAAACATAGCTTAACTAAAAAAGGAAAAACAACAGTTCATTGCATGTTAAATAGCACGGATACTGATCACAATAAAATTGATCAAATCCTATAGCAAAAGTGAAAATCACCGGATGGTGCTCAACAAGAAAACTGCAGGCATGGTCCATAAGAAATATGGAGTGCACTATGTTACAGCAAATTGTTGAAAACTCTGCAGTGAAATAATTAAGAAGACCAACTTTCACAAAAGCTCATCATTCTGGCAAACAGATCTTGTATGCCATCAAATGGCAATAAATTCACTGAAATGTGATCAACAACAATACGAGAGCAAAATAAAATCTGAAGATCTCCAATGCTTGCAGATTAAAAACCAAAAGAAGAGAGAAATATTGTTCATTATCATCTCCTGTTCTAAGTACGTGTAACATACACAATGACAGAAACCATAGTATTCAACTTCTAACAAGAAAAAGTAGCATTTCGACCTCATCAACTACTGAGAAATATATGCTGCGTATAGGCTTTACTAACTTACCTGTTTTTCAAGAACTTTCACCACATAAAAAATGAACAAGAATGGTAAAGAGCTATTGATATAAAATTACAAACCATGAACATCAAGTGCTCCATTAAAAATTTATCAACAGGTAACAGTCCTAAACTTCAATATTTTTGTTAAAAATGCACTATCTATTGATGATACTGATTAACATATAAAATAGTTCAAAAGTCTAATGACCTAATTTTGTCAATATACATATTTAAAAAAAAAAAAAAAAAAAAAAAATCTTTCTTCCAAAGCGAGAGAGGAGCTCGAATCATTCTGTTTGCAAAATCAGATTCTTGTATGAGCCAGTTCAAAATGGCAATAAATTCCACTGAAATGTGAGTGCAATACAACATAGGTATCGAGAGCAATGATAAATCTGAAAGATCTCCAAATGCTGTGCAGATTAAAAAACCAAAAGAAGAGAGAAATATTGTTCATTTATCATCTCCTGGTTCTAAGTACCGTGTAAATCATACACAGGACAGGAAAACCAATTAGCTAATTGCAACTTTCTAAACAGCAAGAAAATAGTATTGCTTCGACCTCACAAGCTTACTGAAAGAAAGTGCTTGCGTAATAAGCTTTAACTGAACTTACCATGTTTTTCAAGAACTTTACAGCCACCATAAAAAATGAACAAGTAAATTGGTAATGAGCTAATTGATAAATAATTACATTTAAACCCAAGATACAATCAAAAGTGGCCTCGCACCATTGAAAAATTTTATCAAGATCTAGGTTAACAGTTCCTATTACTTCATATATTGTATTGTTATATATAATGGGTCTATCTATTCTATCATGATGTATTACTTGGATTAATATGATTATATAGATAGTATCAAAAGTTCTAATGACACTATATTTTTGTTCACAAATATTACAGATTTAAAAAAAAAAAAAAAAAAAAACACACTGAGGTCAAAATTGCTGCAGGTGAGTTTGACCAACCAATCATTGAAAAAAAAAAAAAAAAAAAAAAACAACTGAGGCAATTGCTGCAGGAGTTTGAACCAACAACATGATGCAAAAGGATAAACCTAGTCAACTAGTATAGCATATTAACTGCAAGTTTATGTAAACATAATATATATAAAATTTAAAAATTAAAAAAAAAAAAATCGGAGAAGAAGAAAAAGAGAATAAATTGCTATTGCTTGGCATCGAAACTAACAGTGAGATGCAAATTAAAAGGAACTCCATATTCTCCAAAGATACACATTACATTCTGTTTTACTTAGAAAAGCAAAGAACGCCAGAAAGTAGTTCTCTAATGCGATTATAAATTTGAAAATTTTGGAAAACTGATTTCTAATTCTTTAGTTGAAGAATTTTTACATCAAAACAACAAGTTCTAACTTTCAGTTTTCTTCGAATCATTTTCCATAAAACAACATTGTATTTCACAACTAAACATAATCTTGCATATCGCGGAAGTATTTAAAAGAAAAATCTCTCTAGGAGTCTAGGTGCACAAACTCTACATCTACAAAAAAATTTTTATTTATTAGAAAAGGTTTATTAAGATTAAAGCAAGAAAGGAATCAGTATATAACATGGAGAGGAATCATCCAACATAACCCAAAAGAAAACTAACAATAAGAATATAAAATGTTAGCTAAACAGGTAACATCCTCCAATTGAGCAGCATAACATTCAAAGAGGTTCCTCAAATTATCTCTCAAATGGAATGAACCCTATTATGACTCAACCAAAGCAGTTGCAAATTATTATTCCTGGACCCTGGTCCTACCCTGAATGGTAATTTTCAACATCACAATCCTCATCAACAAGTTATTTCTAATAAAAATAGAAGGCAAGATGAGTCCAACAAAATTGTAATGTTGGAAATACTAAATTTCCTGTTCCTCCCTAAGCCTAAGGGAACAACGAGTTTCATGGATTAAACCACAAGAAGAATAGGTTTGGACTTTTTTATTAAAAGAAGGTTTGGACAAGTTAGGGGACGGAAGGAGATGAAACAAGCTATGATCCAAAAATTTGTAAAAATCATAGAAGAAATATTCTATTTAAGTTCATTTCCAAAATTAATAGAATACTTCATAGAAGAAGTATTCTAGAGAACAAAAGAAGAATAATTTTGTGCATATTTAATAGTTATTATAATTATATAGTTTTTGATGACTCAAAATCCAGCTAGTATGTCAAAATTAAAGAAACTGTGAAACTGTGAAATCAAACTTTTAAAGAACTATGGTTGACTTCATTCCACCATATGGGTAATCTATCTCAGTGGAAATGCCCTGAAGGATCTGATACAATAAGGCTCCCCACTGCCATTGCTCAGAAAAGCTAAGATTTCCAGGGAAGATGTCATTCATTTGATTTATTGGATTTGGATGCTTATTCAAATTGCCAACTACTTGTAATCATTCCAAAATGTGGACAACAACAGCAGCTAAGCTCTAATCCCAATTATACACCTGTGGTTTTACACAATTACACGTCAGATATTATACTTCCACACATTAAAAATATTGGACCAGGAGCACAGCCTAGTCTATGAGAGCATGTTTTATTATTCGTACCTTTTTACAGTCACGTGAGGCATTCATTATTTCAAAATACCACTGCTGCCCTCCAATGTCAACAAGCAGTTTATAGATGAAAGCAATTTCCTATTCCTATCAGTTCTGAAATTTTTCCATCAGTTTCAAATTCCAGACTTTAGTAAAATTTTCTGACTTCTAACAACTATTAAAAGCACTTCACAACTATTAAAAGTGTTGAAGTGCTGGCATTCTGTTTCATCAAATATTTTTCTGTTTTATCAGTTTTCAATAACACTGCTGGAGTTCCTAATTTCCAGCCTTAGAATCTCAGTTTATTATTTTGTGTTATTTGGATTCCATTATTTGAGGAGAATCTGTTGTTTCCAGCTTTAGAATATCACGTTTTATTATTTGTGTTTTAATTTGGATTTCCCAATTATTTTGAGGAGAAATCTGTTATTTCACTTGTATAAATTCCTCAATCACAAGTTGAAGGTGGATATATGTCTTCTCTCGTCAATATTTTTTTTTTAATCTTTTTAAATTTGTTCGCTGGCTGAAGAGACCTCTCATATTTTAGCAGATAACATTAGTTCAAACAGTGGTATTTTCTTGGCAGAGCCACAGGTCTTTCGGCCCTCTTTTAAACAATTAAACTTTGTTAAACCAAGTTTTTTTAGAAACGTCTCTCAGTCCCTCTTGCTCCTCGACCTTCTTACACATCAAACCAGCTCACTGACAAAAATAATGTCCTCACAGTAACCACTTTCTTATCAAACCTCTGAAAGTTTTCTCACCAGGTGAAAAACTACCAAATTGGTCAGGTAAGAGATGCAATGCTATTTGTGAAGCCTTTGATCTTTGGGAAAATCGTTTAACTGAAGAGCAACCATTCGCCCCTTTAACACAAGATCAACTCTAACTCAAATTATAGCACAGAAGTTCAGATGAAACAATGCCAAGCGATCGAAGGCGAAAACATTAATGCCAAAATTCTGTTGGATTGAGGCGGTGGTTTTAACACGAACTTATGGCTTCGTGAAAACTAGGCAGAAAGAAGCTGGAGATAGACTGAAACCAAGAAATATCAACAGTGTATAGAACCAAAAATATGCATAGTGTTTGAATTTAAAGATGGAGGGTTTCGAGGGACAGTTAAACCAATGCAAAGAGAGATTGAACTTGCAAGTTATACTGATAGAGAATTTCTTTAATCGTCACAGATATAGGCTACTTGGTGAAGATTTTTCCCGACAGTCGAAATGTCGACAAAGGGTACTTGTGACCCTACCTTTCCTGAAGAGTTTGAGTCAAAATCTCTTTCTATAAGAAGAGTCCAAGGATGCTTAATAACATTTCAATGTGGACTGAATTGATGAGTTGCATTGTCAAAGGCAGCAGAAGCGAGCGAAGACTTTTTAAGGCAAGACAAGCCCAAATAGATAAGGGGGAGCATGTTTCGAATGCAGTAGATAACGAGGCATGCTGAAAAAAGCAAGAAGAGTTCTAAACCAAAAGAACAAAGAGCAAAATAAAAGAAGGGTTCCAAATACAGAAAAAATTTCAAAACTTATTATTAGGTAAAAAACTACTGTCATCTTCGAAAAAAAATTGGCTCGTGGATGGAGGGAACTATAAATGCAAGATATGTGGCAAATAGGCAAACAACTTGGAATTTGCAAGGTCTGCGCACGAGATTCAAAGAGAGGATGGTTTCAAGACCACAACAAGCACAAGTGGCGGATGATGTAACGATTTCGTGCGGAGGAAAGGCAAAGCTTTTATGAGCTTTCTGGTCTATTCAACGATAATCGGCAGGGTACATTGAAGAGAGCGATGCTTGGTTGGTTTGATGCTATGCGTTCTGTTTTTCCATTGATGGTGCAAGAGTGATTTTGTTTGGCTTATTGAATAGTGGGAATGCAGCTCAATGATAAATGTTACAAAGAGGTGATTTGTAGGATTCTAGCACTCATCGGATTGGAGACTTGGTAGTACTAAGTTGCTAATAGTGAACTGGTGGTCAAGTCTCGGCCAAGTATATTAAAGTTGAGGCAGTGGTTCAGATTTACTATCCAAACTGAACTCAGGTAGTAAAAACTTTTCTGATGTTTTTATATATACCAGATAAGAAATCCAGAGCCAAATTCTGAGTATGATGGACATAACGATGATGCTGATGAAAAAGTATTATGCTTTTGGAATTTAGAAAGCCGAAAGTGGCACAGTTCTTTTTTAATTCCTGCAGGGAAGGAAAAAAATGTTCCTGTAACAATGAACAAAAGGTAGTTTCTTTAATCAATAGGGAGAACTGATGGAAGCCCCCCATTGGCATTTTAATGGGGACCGGACACTTTTAGTGAAACTCAGACTTGTGGCACAAAAAGGTTATTGGGATAAAAGGTTTGGGCATTTCAATCAGAGAAGTTTGTTGGAGATGAAACAAAAAGATTTAATCATAGACATGCCTACAATTAATATCGTCGATCAAATTTGTGAGACATGCCAATTTGGAAAACAAGCGAGGATGCCGTTTCTGAAAAAACAAGCTTTAAGAGCCACTCAAAAACTTCATCTGATTCACACTGATGTGTGCGGACCCATGAAAATTGTTTCCCTCAATGGTAACAATTACTTTATTCTTTTTATTGATGATTATACCAGGATGTGTTGGGTATATTTTATCAAATTTAAGAGTGAAGTTTTTACTGAAGTTTATTACCTAATTTTTTAAAAGAGTTTAAAAGCTCTTGTGTGAAAACTTCAATGTAGAATGCTCACAATTAAAATCTTGAGATCAGATATTGGGGCTGAATACATTCTAAGCCATTTATTGATTTTATTGCCAAAGCAGCAGGTATTGAGAATCAATTCCACTGTTCCAGTACACGACTAGGCAGAAAACGTGTCGTTTGAAAGCAGAAGAATAGACTTGTGATGGAGAGGACTATTAGAGTGTCTATCTTAATGGGAAGAAAACTGCAAGCACAGCATACTCGTTTGAAATGTTGTGGGCAGCGTGACTTTTGTTTATATCAAATGCTCCGTTTTATTTTGTCTGATCGCAACACGGAGGACTCTCGAGCAGAGGCAAGACATTAACAGTAGAAACTTCAGACAGCCGATGTTAGACTAAGCGCATGGAAAGCCTTGTGTTTGGCAGCTTAAACACTTCGTGGGTTATGGGCAATATTCGGGCTGGCAGCATTTGTTTTTATCAAGTGCCAAAAACTAAAAGGAGCAAGCTGGATGTTAAAGCTCAAAAGGGTATTTTCATTGGTTATGGGACATCAACAAAAGGTTATCGAATTTTCTGTCTGCAAACAGAAAAAATTATTGTATCTAGGGATGTGAAATTTGATGAAGCAACAATTTTTGATTGGAAAAATCTAAACCCATTACACCATGATTTTTCCTTGAAAAATTCCTCAGATAAAAAGTCCCATAATGATGATTTTACTGCTGATTTTTTTTCTAATGATCTTGTGGATGATGTTCCTGTAAGAGGTGTCAGGTCCTTAGAAGACATTTGAGTGTCAGTCCTAGAAGACATTATCAAAAAAAATGTAATACAGCAGTTCTCATTGAAACCTAATAGCTATGAAGAAGCTCATGAGCTCAAGCATGGAGCGAGTGGCAATGGGAAGAAAGAGCTTCGATGATTTAACAAAAATGAAACATGGCAATTGGTGGAAAGACCAAAAAGAATCCGCCAAAGTTACGGAGTTCCAAACTGGGTTGCCACAGACAAACGCAATCCTGAGGATTCAATAGTATAACATCAAAAGCCAGAATTAAGGTGAAAGTGTTAAATGACTCCCAATCAATATGGTGTGGACTACCAGGAAACATTTTGCTCTCTCAGTGGCAAAGGAAGTATGGACAAACAATCGACCTGGAGCACAAGTCCTGTATTGCCTGCGGGCGAGCAATCATGCATGAGATACATAATCACACTTGATGTTAAATCTTCTTTTTGAAATGGATTTCTATGCTGAATATATATCTAAAATAGAAAGTATTAGTAACCTGGTAATGAAAGTCATGTTTATTCTTAAAAGAAGGCTTTATTAAATGTGCCTCAAACAGCCCCTATCAAGAAAGCATGATGGTAACGACAACAGATGGACAGTCAACGATCCTCCCTTCCAACTGATTTGTTAGAGTCAAAGTGCAGAAGTCAAAGTGAAGCAACCTTGTATGTGAAAACATGTGGTGGTCATTCTTTAATTGTTTCAATTTATGTCGACGACATGCTTATAACAGGAAGTCAATTTGAACTAATTCAACAGTTCAAAGATGAAATGAAACATTATTTTGAGATGACTGATCTTGGCATCATGAAGTACTTTCTCGGTATGGAAGTGACACGGTCTAGTTGTGGTTTTTTCATATGTCAGCGAAAATTTGCTTCTGATGTACTAAAAAGGTTCAAGATGGAGGAGTGTAAGCCTGTTGGAACACCTATGGCAACTAATTTGAAACTTAGCAAAGATGATGGTGCTAATAAAGTGGATGGAAGCATGTACAGAAGCTTGGTGGGTAGTCTTTTGTATCTTACAGCAAGCAGATCTGATATATTGTTTGCTGTGAATGTGCTTTCTAGATTCATGAACTCTCCTAAAGAAACCCATTTCTCTGCTGCTAAAAGGGTGTTGAGGTACATTAAAGGTACTGTTAATCTTGGCATTTTTTTCCCTAAGTCTGCTAATGAAAGTTTGAAGTTGATCGGTTATTCCGATAGCGATTGGGGAGGTTGTGTTGATGATTCGAGAAGTACCTCAGGGTATCTATTTTCTTTAGGGTCTGGGTATTTCACTTGGAGTTCAATCTATTTTCTTTAGGGTCTGGGTATTCACTGGAGTCAAGAAATAACAAGAAAACCTAACTATCTCAATCGACGGCGAAGCAGAGTAACAAGCTTGCTCTAGCCTCTCTGCTGTAAATCATGGCACATCTGGTTAAATAAAGTTTGCTGAAATCAGAAATTTAGGGTGATTATCAGCTGAAGCACCAAGACTTGGTGATTTTCCTGCTGGGTTTCGATGGCAAAGAACCTGTTTTCATGGAGCGACACCATAGCACATCAAGATGAGTTTTCATTTATTAGAGAAGTTAAACAATCAATGAGTGTTACTGTACCCTGCTACATACTGAAGAACAATATACTACAATTTCACAAAATCCTAGAAAAGAAAACGATGTGAAGAATCGAAAGGAAAAATACTAAGTGTTTGCATTCAAAATACCATGGAAGGATGTTGAAGTCTGGCAATTTCTGTTTCATCCAAATATTTCTGTTTATCATTCAATAAACATTGCTGAGATACCTAATTCCGCCCTTTAGAAACTAGTTTAATTATTTGGGTTTATAGTTCCATTATTATCAGGAGAAATCTAAAATTTCACAAACTTGTAATAAATTCTCAAATCACATTGAAGTAAAATACATCTTCTTCCTCCTTCAATATTTTTAATCTTAAAATTTGTCTGCTGAAACTCATTACTTAGCCAGATACAGTATTTCATATTCCTAAAAAGCATATCAGTTTATTATTTTGTGTTATTTGGATTCCATTATTTCAGGAGAATCTATTATTTCAACTTGTATAAATTCTCAATCACATTGAAGTAAAATACATCTTCTTCCTCTCATATTTTTTAATCTTTTAAATTTGTTTCTGCTGAAACTCTCATTATTTTAGCAGATACATTATTTCAACAAAAAGCACTTCAAAGCAATTAGTTAAATTCAAATAATAAACAAAAACCACAAGTCGCAATTCAGTCAAAGAAACATCTATAATTGGATTTGGATTTCAAAAAAATCTAACCAACCCTTTTACTTTAAATTTATAACTTTCAAAAGTTCGAATTAAAAAATTTAAATTTCTTATGAATCAAAATAAGATTGTAATAAACAAAAGAGTACCTTAATAGCTTCTTTAAGGATTGGCTGATCGACGGGATTGAAAAAGCACGAAGCTTTAACCTTGCTATAGCCTTCCCTAAATACGATTCTCCAACTAACTGACCCTCCACTTTTGCCTCGATTCAGCCAAGAAGAAGAAGAAGTAGACCACTGTGATAAATGGGTTTCTCCTAGCCTCTTCTGCAACTTCAAATTCAGATTCGACTGAAGAGTGAAGAGAATATATTGTAAACAAATCAGACTTTTAATTTCAAAAAATCAAAAACAGCGACAACATAGAGAAGAAGAAATCATCCTCTACCATGCCCAATACGGGAGAATTCCCAGATAACGCCATTTTTTTATTTTTGTTTTAAAATCCCGTGACAGTTGACAAGAGACAGCTGCTTTCTTCTGGTGCGTGGTAGTTATCCCTTGTACTTGCTTATCACCGGTGACCACCTAGACAGGTTATTACCTGCTTATTATAAAAGGGTTGTACAAAAGGCGGGTTACGTTCAAAATCGAACCAAACCAAGCCAATTGAAGTTTTAAATCAAAATTGACTTGATTCAAAATGGAATTCTGGATCGAACCAAATGCTATTTTTCAGTTCAGTTTAGTTTTAAGGGTTTATTCAGCAAAATTAAATATTTTGATAGTTTTTAACTGTTTTAGTAGCGTTTAGATATTATATGATTTAACTGTTACCGAATACAATCTAAGTCTATTTTTAACTTTATGAAACCGAATCAAAATAAAAGGTTAAAGCTGAACTTCTTGTAAGAAAAATCAAACCAAATTAATTTAATTGAGTTGATTGATCAATTGAATTCAGAATATGCTTAGCCCTAATTTTTATTATTATTGTTGAACTAATTTTTTAACACAATTTAAAAATTAAAATTCCATTGTAAGCAATTAAAAAAGTAACTATGTTGCTTGCTCAAATTCAACATTTTTATAGAAATTACTTTTCTATAAAAGTAAATTTTTAAGAAAATAAATTGAGAAAACGACCTTTTGGGATTGAAAAATACTGTCTATATGATAGAAATATGGCTCATAGATCATATAAAATTGGATTTTTCTCAAAGTGAAAAATTTGTGTATCAACTAAAAATTATAAGTAAACAAATGCATAGTTTGATGGTAAGTGCATATACGACTTGACAATAGATTCAGATTCGAATCTCTCTTCCCAAATACTCAAAAGAAAAGGAAACTAAAAATTATAAATATTATTTGCCCAAATTATTTTTCCATGAAATTCTCATAACTAAATAGCCTTGAAATATTTTAATAAAAAATATAATTTGAAATTTTTTTGGTTAATAAAAAAATAGCATTATTAATAATTACCTCCAAAAATATGAATATGAAGTGGCCATTAAATCTCATATAGGCATATGTAATTGCAACATCTATTAATTATGGTTTACCAATAATTTCTCCTTTTTTTGTGTTTGGCCACATATTTTATAAATTCATAATAAAGAGATAAAATAACAATAGAAATTCAAAATCTTCTTTCCTTTCCTTTTTTTCTTACATTAATTAGCCTTTTTTTCTTTTTTTTCTGTGTTTTAGCCTTTCATTTAGTACTTGAAATTATTATTAGATATTTATACATAAAATTAAAAAAATAAAAAAATAAAAAAATAAAAAAAGGAAAAGGAGCATCAATCATGAATGGGAAGGCTTCTGTCTCAAAGGAACTCAGTGCCAAGCATACCAAGGTTTGCTTCTTCTTCCTCAATGTCTTTTCCATGGATTTCTTTCTCTCCTTTATTTCTTTTATGGATAAATTGTTTTCTAAATGTTACTCTAACATATATATATTTTAAAATGATACATTTTGATATTTTCTTCTAGTTGCTAAATTGCAACTTTTCTTTACACATATTAATAAAATTAAACTTATTTTTAAAAAATCATTTATGAAAAGATATTAAAGAACTTGCAAGGGAAAAGGGAGCAATTATCCCTCATTGCTCCTCTCTACATTCATCTCTTATGTAAAAGAAGACAATAAGACAAATGAAGAGGAAAAATAAAAAATAAATTTGTCTATTTTTTTTTAGTTTGCTTTTTCCTTTTTTATTTTTTTAAATATAATTCATTAATGACAATATTAATTATTACAAATACTCATATAGATTAGACATAGAACTCTACTATTAGTAGCTAACAGAGTTTGCTTATCTTTTAACAAACCAAAAGAATTCATATTCTTTTGAACAATACAACTAAAATTAAAAAAATATATATATAATATTCAATCTTCCTACTTGGATTTATTCTCGACAAAAGATATAAATTTTCATAGCAACCCCTAGCTCATTAAGTGATTTGGACGACAAAATAATAATTCTTCTGGATATTCTATACCTGGATTGTTTTTCCAAGAATTTGCAACATATGACTAACACAGATGAGTTTATGCCACTATACCTTTATAGCATCAATGGAAGATTATACCAGACTATCAGGCTCCATTAATTGAAAATTCATACCTATAAATTAGGATTTAAAGTCTTCAACCAAATAAAATCAAATATCATATTATTTTAATTAGTAATAAACCATCATAATGAAGGGACTACTCTCACAAAGAAGGGAGAAAAAACTCCAAATATGGAGACAAAATAACAATAACAAAACCAAAAAAGAACAAATCTGTTATAGAAAAAAAATAGATCTGAATTTATTAGAGTGAATAAAAGATTAAAAGCAAAAAAGAAAGAAGCGAAAAGGAGAATAGAAGGTGAGAGGTAGGGCTACTGCTGATAAATAGCGGCAGCTACAAAACAAAACTAGGGTTAAAAGGCTAAAGAGAAAGGAGAGTAGGAATTTCCTTTTTTTTTGATTAGTGAGTTGGGAAGAATATGCAAAAATAATAAAAGTATAATAAAATACATGTATGCTATTTCAAAATTAAAATTATTTTTTCTACAGTAGTGACAAAAAAAAAAATGAATTCTATACTAATACTCTCTCCGTTCCAAAAAGATAGTCCATATTTTTTTTTTTTTAGCTTCTCCCAAAATATAGTCCATTTTTCTTTTTTACATTATAGTTAATTCTTGGATTTTCTACTATACTCTTATTAAATTACCTCATTTTCAATAACCCTCATTAATTATTAATTATCATTTTAATACTCATGTGTTATTTAATATGAGCATAATAGAAAAGTTATATAAATAAAATAGCCTTTTAACCATATTTTTTAATCTGTGTGAAATAAAAAATAGACTATCTTTTTAGATCAGAGGAAATATATAATTAGAAAAGAGGCTCCTAAATTTATTTACTCCATGTGATGGTTGTAATATTTTTATCCTACAATTTTTTTTTTTTTTTTTTTTTTTTTATAATTAGAAAAGAGGCTCCTAAATTTATTTACTCATGTGATGGTGTATATTTTATCCTCAGAATTTTTTTTTTTTTTTTTTTTCGAATCTTTTTTTTTTTTTTTTTTTTTTTTTGATCTTTAATGATTTCTTGCTTTATACCGTTGTGTGCAGATTTTGGAGGGCCTTCTTAAGTTAGCAGAGAATAAAGAATGTGCTGATTGTAAGAGCAAGTACTATCTCATAAACCTTCATTTATGATGTTTTAGTAAGAATAATGTTTTTAGTGTAAATTACTTTTTAAACCTGAAACTTGATCCTAATTACTACTTAATCCTTATATTTTGAGTAAATAATTGAAAGAGACCTATAAAATTATAAATTTTGATAACTTTCATGCTAAATAGTAATTTACCTGTGTTTTTATTTTCTTTATTTTTTAAGTTTTTTCTTCTTATTATTATTTTTTAGGGCACCACGATGGGCGAGTATAAACCTTGGAATATTTATATGCTTGCAATGTTCAGGAATTCATCGACGTCTTGGAGTGCATATTTCACAGGTTTAATGTTTGTTTATTCTCAAATTCTCCTCTATCTCATAATATTTTCTTACCAAACCACGACAGCAAATTTCATCCGTCTTAAAATATAAGTCTTTTTAAATATTTTAACGAATAATAAATGATATTTTTTAATATTACTTTTATTTATATTAAATAAAATAATTGCTCTTAATTTTAAAATGGAGTACTTTATTACAACATTGATAAGATATATTTTCGAGAAGTGAGGTAAGATAACAAAAATATCTTCTCGCTCAACTAAAAATCTCGAATTCGAATTTTGATTTTAGAGTCTCTTTAATCTCTAGAGAAAGAGAGCTTTTTGTCTCTCTCCGTGGTTATGTCCGGAACAATTATAATTCTTTTTTTTTTTTTTTAATTCTATTTTTTTTTTTTTAATGCAAATATGGTAAGCATCTACTACTTTAGAACACTTGTTGCGCAGAGTCAAGTTGCCTGTTATGCAGTAAGATATCCTTGGCTATTAACTTTCCCATATGAATATTTTATATCAATAAAAATGAATTATCTATATTAATTACAAATAAGACAAAATTACCTACAAACCGGTGTAAGTAATTATCTACTCAACAAAACCTAACAACACAATATTTTGCGAACAATATTTGGTTCAAAACAATGTAATCTATATCTATACAATTTAGAAAAAAAAACATCAGTATCTTTTTTTGTTTTTTTTTTATAATAGGCTTAATAGCTATCTATATTATAGAAGATTAATTAAATACTATTTACCGCACCAAGCCATTAAAGGAATGTAGAGATTTATTAATCTCAATTTTTTTTTTTCTTCTGTTCTTGGAATAGATGGGCAATGTTTTTTTTTTTTTTTTTTTTTTAAATATTGGCTAATGCATTTTTAATATAAATATATTTAATTATATTACATTAAAGGAATTGTGAGATTTTATTAATCTTCATTTTTTTTTTTTCTGTTCTTGGAATAGCTATGGGCAATGAGAAGTCTAATCAATATTGGGAAGCAAGATTGCCACCAGAGTATAATAGAAGTGAAATTGAGAAATTTATCCCTGCCAAGTATATATATATATATATATATAATGTGGTTTTTTATGATAAGAAATTATTTTTTTAATTTTTTTTAAAATTTTCATTAATTAGTGATGATTATTTAATTATAGGTATGAAGAGAAAAGATGGGTTTCAAGAAGAGACAAAAGTCACATTCCAAAACAAACAAGAAGCCATTCTCTTGATGAAGGATTTTTTAGTAAATACAATGAACTATATCCTCCTCCAAAAACAAATTCTAGAGGGGTGGGTGAGGTTTATTTATATATATAACTTTTTTTTTTTTTTTTAAATTCTCATAATGACAAATCCTCCTCCTTAATGAGATTTTTTTTTTCTGGATATATGAAAAATAAGTGATAAGTTAAATTCAACGAGATTTTTTTTTTTAAATGGAATTTACAAATTTTTTTTTGGTATCTTTGAAAAGTATTTTAGGTTTTATTTATAAAATCTTACAATTTTTGTTTATAGGTTTCTTTGGATAGGAGAAGTAATGAAAATGGTATAGTTAAACCAAAGGAACAATTGGAGACATACATAAAGAAGGCAGAGAGCGATGGAGATCTCTTCGGTTTGCTTCATGCCCATCAACAACTGGACACCTTCAATGTTATTCCTGCACCATGGGCAATTTTTGATTGTAAGTATATTTTTAATTCACACGTTAGCTGATTAATTTGCTATCTCAAATTTTAAAAGCTAATATAAAAGCTACATCATCAAAATTTATAAATATTAAGAATAGTATTTTGACAAATGCTATATGAAAAGCTATTGATGTGTTTCTTTTCGTGTAGAAAGCTACTTTTTATAGTGTTCGGTAATATAGTATTTGAATTAACTTTTAAAGGTTAAGGTAGCGTTGTATGAAAAGTTAATTCATATAGTGTTTAACTTATAATGTTTCATAAAAAGCTACTCGAATAACTAACAGCTACCAAAAGAGCTAATTTTGCCGAACATACTATATATAAAACACTATAGGAAAGCTGATTTTGCCGAACAGACTCTATATGAAATACTATAGGATAGTGTTTTGACAGGTGCAGAGGAAGCCTCCTGCCTACATTTTTGGGACACTTGGCATATGACATTAGAATCGAGTTTGAGTTGGCTTAGACCAAGAATTATTTCCTCTAGTATATATTAAATGCAATAATTATGTCTATAATTTTTTAGAGGGTAATTTAATTAAATTAATGAACATTTTATTGCAATTTCAGAGAATCAATTACTTTTTTAATCATTATACAATAATCATAAACGGCTTATATTTGTAGACCGAGGAAGTGAGATTCAAACCTTGACACTGAGGAAGTAACATTCACACCTTGATTCACTTAATGATATCTTATTTGCAAACCTTAATTTGATGTATCACTCAGGATTCTATAACAAATCATTGGTGCTTTTACTTTCAGACTCTTATACTAACAATATGTGGTTGCAGGAACAGAGGTGAGCAAGCTTATGGAATTAATATTCAAAGTATATAGCAAAGTTAGAAGAAATCACAAGTTTGTGAACCTTTGTAAATAGGCATGCAATAACCATTCTCTAGATATATGATAGTCCAATACCATGTAATTGATGAATTGGCAATACACTTGTCAAGAAAATATTCTTGTAATATACTCATTCCGTCCCAAAATGTAAGTCCAGGTCTAAAATTTGTAACCCAGTAGAGAGATAAACTTCGTTTAAGTTCTCATTGACTTCTGACAATAATAGCCTAAAATACGTTTGGACCAAGTCTGCAACACTCAGTTCATTCTATAATGTACACAAATGTTCATTGATCAACTATGCATATAAGCATTCGACATTGTGATCCTCCAAACCTTACTACAGTGTCGAATACACACTTCATTACAGTTTCTAACAACCATATAGAACACATTATTCCATATGATAAGAAATCAAAGAAAAAGAATGACTCTTAAAGCTCACCCATTCTACGGTACAGTTATACTCAAAACTTCTTGCTATATACAGGACACCAACATTCTTCATGCAAGAGGCACAACCCACAGTTGTGTAGACATCAATCTGGACACTCCTCATGATTTCCTCCAACTGGGTCCAATCAAAAGATTTCCATGTTGGTGATGTCAATGGCAATTATAAATACACACATGAATTATTAGTTCAACAAAACTTAATATACATCCCTTAAATTTTCACTGATTCTCAAGTTACCATGAATAGTCAAACATGACCTTCATATCCTGAAACATTTGTAGTATTGTAAATTTACCCATCATTTATATGATATCTTCTTGAAGTCTGCTGCAGCAAATGTTGACTCCTGTGTCATCAAATCAATGCTTATATATAACATCCAAACAACAAAGATGTCAATGCCACATCCTAGTACGGTTGAATGTTGTGTTGTACAAGTGCGTGCATATAATCAATGCTTAAGAACATTCATGTGGAAGTGTGCATGGATTAAATTACAGCAATCATGAACATTTTTTCTTCCTTCATATACTTTGTTTATATTTTCGTCCCAGGCCATAATTTGCATTTGTTGGTCTCCACTTCCAATGCTTCCCCAATGTTGAAGAGGACCATTAAAATTTGGAGAGAAATTATCAGGTGGGTAGACAAATGCTTCATACACAATGCAGGTCAAAATTAATTGCAAGTATGTACTTGTCCCACCTAGTATATTTAACGTACCTGCATTCATCCAATATGCAAAATCCTTTATAATTAGAATTTGTTTTTAGGCAAACCTAATCTTGTAAGTCCCTTTTTAATCTTTAGGAGAATGTTTTCTTCTCTTTTTTCCCCTTATTCCCCGCTTAAGTTTATCTGAAGGCCCGAAGTATAAATAAGAAGGGACTCTAAATCTACAACACAATTCCTCCAACACACGCAGAAAAGAGGAAGAGGGGAGAAGGGTGTTTCTCACTCTACCTTTCAGCTTGATCGCTATTTTAGGTATTTGTATACAACAATTGCTTATTTTACGTTATGTTCATGATTGCATTATGGTACTTGGAAGTTGGAAATGCTATAGAGTACATTAAATTTATTTAATTCAATTTTACAAGAGAACCAGAAAATGTGTAAGGCTTGCCAGTCATGCAAAGCCTAATCCAGGGATTTAGGTAGAAGAACAGAGTAGGGAAAAGAAGAAGGAGAGATTTAGGTAGAAGGGAGAGAAAAGATAAGAAAGATACTATTTAATTAATCTTCGATACACTGTTATTCACTTTACAAGTCATTATTTTATTAATTCTGCATGAAGGACACATAAGCTCACTACTTGCCAACTCATATGCCAACTATAAACAACATTTGTCAATTCAGCTAAACAACTAATCAACAGAATGCAAAATTACATTTAAATCCAAAAAACCTCAAATCAATAACAATGAATCCATGTTATTTGAAAATCAGGTCCTGACAAAATACTAAAAGTAGTAGTATGAATTTGCACCATCAACTAGTTTTCTCATTCCACTAATCTGTGTAGTAGCAGGAGCACAGCAGCAGCAGATTCTTTATCATATAGTCATACATGCCTTGAGGCACTACCTAGCAGTATAATATATATAAGATAATAGCAGCAGCAGAACAAACTAGTATTAATTTGTTGATCTAGGCAGATCAACTGAAACAGTTCGTTACACTTTGAAATAAATTTTGTTGTTTCTAGTCTTCCAAAATCTATAAATTCTCAAGAACGTAAAGAACAGGAGGGCCAATCAAGCATAAGCAATATGCAAGCCTAATATTTGACTTTATTGATCTCGGCATATAAACATGAATCTATTCAGAGTTCAGATTCACATGTGATGGTGAAAATGCCAGGCAGGGAAAAGTCTTGGTATTTGAAGTAGGTAGGCAATAACACCAAGAATCAGCGTATAATATCAGTTAAACAAGGTACTAGGGTCATATTCTGATTCCCCTTCTTTTCATGAAATCCTTACATGGCTTATCCATATCTTCAATCAACTGTGTATAAAACCTTATCATGCATCATAATTTCTGATGAGAAACAATAAATCTATCTCGATCCCTAGAAGGTTGACGGGAAATATTTTAGTGGAAAAGTCAAACCTGGAACGAGGAAACACAAGATTTAATCTTTGTTTGTTGATACACATGCATCCAAAACGTCACTGTTATTGCTGGTTGTGTGACATACTTGCAGCAATTAGTCTCTCCTGAAGCTTTGAAACTCGAGTCTGCACAAAGGTAGGAACATGTCAATTAAAACAAAACAAAGAAAGACCTGCCCATAATTATGAGATTAACTTACAAAGAGAACTGGAAATTTGTGAGATCCTAGAAATGGACGATACCTTGAATGATTTGGAGCGCCGAACAGTAGGATCTATCTGCAAACACATTGAATACGACTTCTCAGCGGCATCATATTGTTCCATTTCCATGAAAGCATCACCTTCACACATATATGCCTGCTAAATACGAATTCATTAATATATCTTCTTTACAACAATTTGATACCAATAACTGATATACATACATACACCTGAACACATTCCACTCTGAAGGACTAATCATATTATAGTTTTGAAACGTGCAGCCATGATTTATGCATGTGTCCTCTCCCCTCTCTCCCCATCACACCCGGTACGCCAAAAGAATTGTATGGATTCTGTAGTGATCTTCTCTCTAAAACATAAATGGATAGCAGCAGAGAAAGAGAAGCTCTCCATATATCTGAGAGCAAGAAAGTAGCTTATACCTTTAAAAGAAATTAAGAAAAATCAAACCTCTTGCAACACCACCAAATGAAAGTTATTTTCCATCCTATAATCTGGATTTATAGATTGCAACGGAAGATAACTAATAAGCACTTTGTGAACAATACTTTTCTCCAATTGACCAGTTAAACTTCCCACAAAAAAGGAGCAGAAAAAAATTCTAGGAATGTAGTCACTATGATTGGAAGATCGTTTCTTTCCTAGTTTAGGAGGAGGATACTTGGCCCTCTGAGTATAATCTCCACTCTTTTTCATTGTTATTACCAAACACATATACTAGTAACAGTGACAGTAAGTCTGACAAATCCCAGAGATATTTAGTTCTACAAACAGTTTCATACATCTAAAATTTGAAAAAACAACTGAGCTCACCTCAAGATATTGAGGAGACAGATTCAAAGCTTCCTGCGCATCTTCAAGAGCCCCTGTATAGTTTCCCATTGCCAATCTCACGAGAGACCTGACAAACAAAAAAATCCAAAGAAAAGTAAAGCCCAGTACATAAATTGTTTCCTGTATAAAGAGATGCACACGCTATATAGACATAATCTAAGCCAAATATTAAAAACCTTTAGAACAAAATTTCAGCTCTAAACATAAAGAAGCACACAAAAAAAACCTGCATTTATATGTAGTATGGAGGCCACTGAATGGTTTATGATTTATAGCCTGCATCATTATAAATTATTGCCAATGCCATCCCATAAGTCAATTTTGAATAATTCTTTCTGTTAAAAAAAAAAAAAAAAAAAAAAAAATAAATTACTTGCCAATCGCATCCCATAAGAAAATCAATTTTTGAAATATCTTTCTGTTATAAAAAAAAAAAAAAAAAAAAAAAAGCGTGAAAATTGAAATAACCTGAAAGAAGAGTCAGCCCTGGTGAGAAATTTGCCCTGATTGCAATTCAAGCCTGGGCTTTGTTTCTAAAAAAAAAAAAAAAAAAAAAAAAAGCTAAAATTGAAATTAACCTGTGAAAGTAAGAGTTCAGCCTGGTAGAAATTGCCCTGATCAATTTCAGCCTGGGCTTTGTTTCTTAAAGCAAGCGCATCTAAAGCCTTGCGGATTGCGGCATCATCTTGGCCAACCGTAACGCGAGCGGCTGAAGTAGCAGTGGAGCAATGTCCGACAATTATCCCTTGAGGAAGACGCACTACGTTGGGACCCGCACCGCATCGGCCCAGGCAGCCGCATGAGTTAACAGAGATGTTGGGAGGGGAGATATCTTTAATTACTTGTAACGTCTGTACGGAACCTTGCCTACGGCAACTTCGGTTTGTACACACCCTAATTTCTTCCGTAGAACCGGAGGCAGCTTCAAGTTTCCATTTTTTCTTGGTTGATGATAAAGAAGATGACAATGGAAACCAAACCACATACTGGTAACTACTTACCGCCATTTCTCCGTTTGTCTTAGTTCTAGAGTTTGCAAATCAAAATCAACAGCTTTTAACTGCATTCGGGTCGGGTTAACCCGAATCAAAACCGACCCAACTTTAAACACGCGTAATCAATGCGGTGTTTACATATACTCGGGTAGGGTTTAAATTTGGTTGTTCGGAAAAGAAAGGAAGAACAAAGGCAATGGCTTTCTGGGGAACGGAAGTGAAACCGGGAAAGCCATTTACACAGTCACCTGATAACGATGGAAGAGGAAGACTCCATATATCGCAGGCAACGTTAGGTAGTGGTAAAGTAGGATCAAAGAGTGTGACGGTTCAGTGTAATGTAGGAAATAGGAGTCCTGTTTTCCTTTGCTCTTTGTTTCCCCAAAGACAAGAATCATGTCAATTGAATTTAGAATTCGACGAGCCTCAGGAAGTTGTTTTTTCAGTCATTGGTCCCCGAAGTGTTCATCTCACTGGTTACTATCTACCCAGAACTGCCCACTACAGCCACAACGACGAGTCGTATCCTTTTTTTTTTTTTTTTTTTTTTTTTTTTATTTTTTATATTTTTTTAATTTAATTCATTGATTGTGTGGTACATAGTTATTGTTCTCCTTTACAAGCAACCAGTGAATCCTTTGGGGTAAGAATATTGAATAATAAACAAGACCATAACAGATCGATGATGTTTTTTTTTTTTTTTTTTTTTTTAAATTTATTCATTGCTTGTGTGTACATAGTTTTGTTTCTCCTTTACAGCAACTAGTGAATCCTTTGGGGAAGATATTGCTAATACAGAGACAGAAAGATCTGATGATGTTAGTGATGAAGATGAAGATGAATATGAAGATAGTTTTATTGATGATGGTGATACAGAGTTTACCACACATTCTCCTGTTTCTAGTGATGGAGGTAAAGTTTTAAACTTTACATCTGGATGATTATTTTTCTGTTCTTGATTTTTGAAATTGATTCATTTCCTATGTCAAACAATGATATTTCTTTAATTAAGTGATGATAAGTTGAGAAACAGATAGAATTCAACTGCTCCAGTGGCTTTAATTCTGTTCTCTCTGCAAATATTTTCGGTTAAGTTTGAATTTAGTATTGGGTAGCAATTTTTTGAATGTACCCATTCTTTCTTATTTATCCTTACATAACAAGTGATATTGAATTAAATTGTGCTCATAGAGTCCTTAACCTTATCAGTAAATTATTCTATGCTGCTCTTGTTCAGTTGTTACGGATCAGCATTTGTTGAATGCTAGATGCTTAAGAGTGAGAATGAGATCATCTTTCTTTTACCTAGAAGAATGATTTTGTCCACATTTTTTATGACTGGCTCAGAAATTTTATTCTGATGTTTTCGATGCATAATTCTTGGTCATCTATGTCATCAGTGTTTGAGGAGATGTCACATAGAAGGAAACCTAAGAATGAGAAGTTCGGCCGTAGACGACTTAGGAAGAAGTACCAACAGGGTCAGTCTGATGAGGAGTGCCCTTATCAGCAAAATGCTATTGTCAACGGTGGCACTTGTATGCCAAGGCTGGATGAAGATGAAGAGGAGATTCTCCTTTCTCCCTTCTATAGATCTTCTGCAAGGTGTATATCAGAAGCAGAAGAAAATGCCAAGAAAGAAACAGGTGAGACAATTAATAAGGAGGTTGAAGACGAGGCAGAACGAAAAGCAGATGCTGTTGTAGATAGTGAGCTGAAAAGGTGCAGTATGACTAAAAGTTGGTGCAATAACTTTATGCTGTTCACAAATTTTATTAATTATAATATGGTCTACGGTTCATTTTGTAAATAAAAATCTATTGAGGGTCATGCAAAGTTTGGAAATGATAGTTAATCATTCTGAATCTATCCACTTGTGTTGATAGCAATCTAAAAGCATTGGGGAAAGGATAGTGTAGTATGTAGTTATTTAAAATATCAACCGAATTTGTTAGGAACTTTTATCAATGTGCTAGAAAGGACCGTGCAACAAGGAAAGCATTATATTGTGATTTTCATTGTAAAATGCTCTTAATGAAGTTTTTCTCTGCATGTTAGCTGGCATGCGCTTGAGTTGTATACTTGCTCTTAACTGCGTTTGCACTTGAATTCACTTCTGCAGCCAGCCTGATCAACATGGATCTATTGTATCTTCTGCTCAAATAGGCTTGGAGAATGGTGGTGTAAAGCCAAAGAAGAAAAAGAAAAAGCAAATCAAAGAGGAGGAACAGGTTAAAGCTGGAATTGAAGATGATTTTTTCTCTGGCACAGGTCTTAAATGGGACAAGGCCAAGCCAAGTGAGACAACAGCTAATAAATCAAATCAAGATACGACTGTAATATGTGAAGATAAAAAGAGGACTGAAAATTATAAGTGAGTTTTTCTCATCTGATCAACACTTTAAGATCAATAGGTTGGATGAAACCTTAACTATGTATTTACTTGAAGTGGTTGATTTACTCGTGCAGCCAGCCTGATCAACATGAGTCTCTCCTACCTTCTGCTCAAGTAAGCTCAGAGGATGGTGTAAAGCCAAAGAAGAAAAGGAAAAAGCAATCCAAAGTGGAGGAACAGGTTAAGGCTGAAAGTGAAGATTATTTCTTTGGCACTGTTCTTAAACGGGAAGTGAAGCAAAGTGAGACAAACGCTGGTCAACCAAATCAAGAAAGCGAGACAAAAGCGGACCAATCAAATCAAGGTATAACTGTAATAGATGAAGATAACAACAGGACTGAAAGTGATAAGTGAGTCTCTCTCATCTTATTAACACTTTAAGGCCAATAGGTTGGATGAATCTTAACTATGTATTTACTTGAAGTGGTTGATTTACGTGTGCAGCCAGCCTGATCAACATGAGCCTCTCCTAACTTCTGCTCAATTAGGCTCAGAGAATGGTATAAAGCCAAAGAAGAAAAGGAAAAAGCAATCCAAAGTGGAGGAACAGTTTAAAGCTGAAAGTGAATATGATTCTTCCTTTGGCACAGTTCTTAAATGGGATAAAGCAAAGCAAACCGAGACAATAGCTGACCGATTGAACCAAGATAGGACTGTAATAGATGAAGATAACAAGACGACTGGAAGTGATAAGTGAGTTTTTCTCTACTTATTAACACCTTAGGACCCATAGGTAGGATGAAATCTTAACTACTTATGTAGTTGAAGTGGTTGATTTGCTTGTGCAGCCGGCCTGATCAACATGAGTTTGTCCTATCTTCTGCTCAACTAGGCTCAGAGAATGGTATAAAGCCAAAGAAGAAAAAGAAAAAGCAAAAGCAAACCAAAGAGGAGCAAAAGGTTAAAGCTCGAAGTGAAGATGAAGTTTATTTTGGCACAGGTCTTAAATGGGATAAAGCCAAGCAAAGTGAGACAAAAGCTGACCAATCAAATCAAGATATGACTGCCATGGATGAAGATAGCAAGAGGGCTGAAAATGATAAGTGAGTTCTTCTTGTCTTATCAACCCTTTAATACCACTAGGTTGGAAGAAATCTTAACTATTTATGCACTTAAAGTGGGTGATTTACTTGTGCAGCCAGCCTGATCAACATGAGTCTGTCCTCATGGATTTAATTGTTGTCCTTAATGACATAGAATTTGCTGTGTGATATGTACAGGGTTGTTGACAATATTGCTGACCAATCTGCTAATGCAAATCATTCTCAAAAGAAAAAGAAGAAGAAAAAGATTAGAACTCAGGAGAATGGGGAGGCTTTGGATATGGAAGGATCAAAGGAAAGATCTTTTATGGAGGTTGAAGACAATGATGCTGATGAAAATTCATCTTGGCTTGGGACATATGGATTAGTCATGGAGAAGCTGGAAACAGGGAAACAAAATGGAAAAATTGCTGGTCCTGGGGAAAAGGTAGCTTTCTTCTAATTTCTTTTCTTCAATATAGCAGTCAAAAATAGCTTTAGGACTGAAGTACTACAAAAAAAAAAAAAAAAAAAAAGCTTTAGGACTGAAGCTACACAAAAAAAAAAAAAAGAATAAAAAAAAAAAAAAAAAAAAAAAGTACCTTCCATAAATAATTAATTGTTACAATGAATTTTAGAGAAAATTCATATTATGTTTTTGGTATATGAAGTTACCTTTTCTGACAGTTCTGTTAATTTCTAGGTTTTGAAACAACAATTACCCTTTAGCATTCATATCAAACTTAGCATTACGTATTTTACTTTTGTTCATTGATGTGTGTGCGAATACATCCCTGGTTAAATAATTTTCTGGATCTGTATGCTTGTCATAGTGATGCATAACTAATTGCCTAACTTGGTATTGTATCAATTCATCAAATTATCCAGTTGGCTATCAGTTCATCAAACATGTAAAAATTTTAGTAAAATGCTGATGGAGTTCCATTAAAGCTTTTCCTCTCATAAGATGAAATCTATTTATTTTTGTTTTTATTTTTTCATGTTTTATGTTGCAGGCAAAGGAGGTGTCTTAAATTCCTGGGAATATCTGGTGTTGATGGTATTGTCTATAACCCCTTTTCTCTTTCCTTAATCATATTTCCCCAGTGTTTTCACAGATTTGATCTTTAGATTTTTCATGCATGCAAGAATCTCTGTAAATGAGCCACAAAACACACTGTACTTTCCTAGCATTTCTTATAGAGAGTAGCATCAACTCCAGTTCACATTCTTGACATGTTCTGTCAATGTGTCTGATGTAGTTGTGGGAGTCCAAGGGATGGTATATTCAGATTAGCGAAAGGGACGACTTCGATTTTTCCGGCAGAATCAGATATGTCTTGCATTTTTGGCTCTGGTGAACTCAAAATTTCTGAAAGTATCAAAGGTTGAGAATGATTGTCTTTTTGGAATAAAGTGATCTAAGGTGTTTCTTTTTCTTTGTTAACTCCATTAGCCCAACCAATGTAAAAGCTTATGGGGTGTGTGTGTCTATATAGTATGAAAGTAGCAGCAAAATTTTAGAAAACTACTGGAATTGGTTCACCATTTTTATGTAAGGATTTATAGAAAACTATCTAAAAGAAAAAAATTAATTTTGTGCTGCTTGAGATGAACATAGAAACTAAATAAAAAACAAGGTTTTAGGTGCTGGTATCGCATTCCATGTTTTTTTTTTAAGAATGGATTCGAATATTTTATTAATTTTATTTAAAGAATCATAAAATTATATAAAATGTATGAAATCCATTTGTTTGAGATTCTTGTTTAATGGAAAGGTTTATTCATAAATTGCAGTCTAAATCAATTCAAAATCATGATTTGAAAGATTACTGGTTTGTTGTGGTTTCCAATTATTGGTTTGGTTAATGATTAGAGTTAAAATCGATAAAATCAAATCGAACCATGCTGTATATATATTTTAAATTTTTAACTTTGAAATGATAAATAAATGAATACAAATTTTACTCACCTTAGGTAAATTAATACAATTATTTACGGTAAGTACAAATTAATAGAAATATATTAGCACGCTGTTCATTTATAATTTGGTTGGGTTTGATGACTTTGTAATATAATATCTATAGATAAAATAAAAAAAAGTAAATGAGTTATGTTCATACTTTCTATAGCCAAACCAAAAATAGCAACAGATTTTTAGAAACGGATTAATCCATTAAGTTGCAACGGATTAAAAACGTATTTGCACTCAAAATCCTTTTTTGAATTTAGAAACGGATTAGCAACAGATTTGTTAGAAATGGAATATTACGTTGCCAAAGTTTGCCGGAAAAATGAGGCGGGTAATTTAGAATTGGAGTAGGAACGTATTAGAAACGAAAAATCCGTTTCTAAATTTACAGAAAGTCTTGAAACGGATCGGAAATGGATTATTAGAAACAGAGTATCAAATCCGTTCTCAAATTATATTTTTAAATATGTATTTTTATTCTATCTTATAGAAAACAAAAAAGAATATTTAATCAAAATATTATTTTGAAGCAAAATATTATTTTATTCTATCTTATAGAATATATGATGTATTAAATTTATCTATCTTCATAGAAAACAAAAAGAATAAAAATCAAAAATATTATATTTGAAGCCAAAATATTTTTTATTCTAATCTAAGAAATATATTAGAATTATATATATAATTAGTATATAGAGACTTATATAAAATATATATATATATAATATATACATGATAATAATAGTAATACTAAAATTTTGAAAGCTAAAATTTTGAAGCAAAAAATAATTTTAAAAAGTTGAGTTGGCACTATGTGTTTTTATTATTTCATGTTTTAGAAATTTTCTAATTTTTAATACATTTTGTTAAACATTTTTATAAATTTTTTAATTTTTATTATAATTTAATTGAATTAATTATAAAATCTTTTCTATTATTTATTATTAATTGGATTAAAATTTTTTTTATTATCTATTATTATATGGATGCCCTACAGTACACTGCTTCAAATGACGCTTACGTTTATAGCCTCAGTTACGTTTCAGTCCCAAAAACCGCTTTTGCCCTTCTAAATTTTTGATAATTCCAATCAAACGCCCTCAGCATACATAGTACAAAAGTTTCTAATACTGACAACGACGGCCCACCATTTGATTAAACAAAGCCCGATACATTTGTGCGATTCGCGCCGTGTATCGGTGCTCTTCTTTATTATTATTTAATTTCATTAAATACTGGAAAGACAAGGTCAAATTAAAAATTGAAAAAACTGAAAGAAGAAAGTTTTTAGGACTCCTTTTACTTGGGAAGAAAGAATGAAGAGTGGCAGAGTTACAGAGCGCCAATGAAAGCTATAAGATACTCTTCGCCTCTGCGATTTCTACTTTTTTTTTTTTTTTTTTTTTTTTTTTTTTTTTTTTTTTTTTTTTTTTAATAATCAAAGTCTGTTACTTAAGAAAACAACTAACAGACAAAATACTAATTCCTGAATCTGCATCTTTCTTCTTCAACTGGCATTTGGGCGTTTTTTTTTTTTTTTTTTTTTTTTTTTTTTTTTTTTTTATAATCAAAGTCTGTTATTAAGAAACAACTAAAGAAAAATACTAATTCCTGAATCTCATCTTCTCTTCAATGGCATTGGGCGTTGAAGAAGAAGAAGACTACTCTGTTAGAACAAGAAACTACAAAATAAATAGAAGAATAAAGTTTTCTATTGATGACAAGGTTGAGGTAATGCCATTGTTATGGCTTTCTTTATTATAATTTATTGGGGTTTTCTTTTTTTGAGGGATTTCTCCCTTACTTTCTTTTTATTTTCTTTCCTTTTTTTGTTTATTCAATTTGAGGGTTTCAAAGATAATTATCAAGTTGATTAGAGCTGCATTGTGATTTTATTTGTTAACCTCATTATTATTGGCTATATATTGCTCCTCTATGCTCTATTTGGTTTGCATGCAAGGGTTTATTAGAGGTTGTCTGATTTCTAAAATGGTAACAAAGAAAAATGTCCTTTATACAATGTTAGTTGGTTCTTTTAATCAGCCATTAACTGAAAATTAATCATGATCAGTAAGGCTGTCTTTTTTATTTGAATATCAGGTTTTGATTAAGGTTTTCTTTTCTTTTCTTTTTTCTTTTTTTACTGATTCATTAGTTGTTTAACAAAGTCATAATTTGTTAGTTGGCTATCCGTTAAATTGGAATAAGGGTTTTGTTTGCTTACCATTTTTCAAAGCGTTAAAAATATTAATTTCGTAGGTAAGGAGTGAGGAAGATGGTTTTCAGGGCTCATGGCACCTGGGAACAGTTGATGGATGTAAGAATTGTGACAAGGGTGTGATTTATGATGTCAAATACGATCATATACTTGTTGATGATGGGTCTGACCATCTCGTTGATAAGGTGTTTGTTCCAAACCATGTGGATGAGAACAGTTGCTCCACCTCAATGGTTAATTATCGTGGACACATTAGGCCATTACCGCCTCTGCTTAACGTTCAAAAATGGAACCTCCCTAATGGAATGTGTGTGGATGTCTTGCACAATGAAGGCTGGTGGGAAGGTGTGGTTTTTGATCATGAAGATGGTTCAGAGGATAGGAAGATCTTTTTCCCTGATTTGGGTGATGAACTAGTCTCGCACATTGGTTATATAAGGATTACTCAGGATTGGAATGATGTTACTGGGACTTGGCAGAATCGTGGGACATGGCTGTTTTTGGAGTTGATCGAGGAATTGGAGCAAGAATGTTATGTTCCTGTTTCCACAAAGCAACTCTGGTATGATTTGCGAGAGAAAAAGGATTTTCAGAAACTTGTTGATTGGACTTCCAAAGACAAAGATACATGGAGAAATTTGGTGTCAGATGCAATTAATGATAATTTTAAAGTTTTTATGAAGCATTTGTTTGAGGAAGTAGGCTTTACGGAGGGTGCGCAGGGGGTGTTGGAGTGTGCAAAACCTTTTAATGATGCGAATACATATCCTGAAGCAGTTTGGGGTCAAAATCATGCTGTGTCAGTTGGAGACATGTCAAATAGCAATATGTTTTATCCCAAATATTCTAATGCCAATTCCATTCAACAACTATATAATGAGAAGCAATTAGCATCTCTTTCATTGAACAATGGGTCAAATATGCATCTATTGACTAAATCAAAAGTATCATGCCCTGAAAAAAGAGTGTGCATGTTGCCTCAGGTCTTGCCTTCTAACCAGGATGGAATTTCGGTTACTATTTCTACGAACAATGAGAAAGGTTTCTCTAGTTCCAATGCCGATAAGATTACTGAAAAGTACTCGAGTTCAATGTGCATCAGATCCAATTGGTTATCTGCTGTCCCACAACTGGTTCCGGGGGCTGAGTTTTGTCCAGATTCTGTCATCAAATATGCACTTGGTAAAAGAATGCCTCAAAGCTCTATAGTTGATGTTAGGAAGCATCTCTTACATCTGAATTGGAGAATAGAGTACTCGAGACAAAGTGGTGTTATTAAACTTCGCTACATCTCACCTGATGGGGTCTGCTACTATTCTCTTCGTCAGGTCTGTATTTGTCTAAGTAAATCTCATGCTGATACTCTTCCTTCAATGTCCCAAAATGAGGATACAATTCTGTTCAATTCACCTTCTTCAACTGCCCAAGATGAGGGTACAAGTTTTTTCAGTTTACCTGGTAATTCATCATGTCTTCTTATTGAGCAGTCGCCGCAGAATCAGGACTCTCTGGTCTCTTCTCAATCCGATTTTGTTGTTATTGAACCCAAATATTGCCCTGAAGCAGCTGTGCAGTGGTTTAAACATGGATTTGGGAAGAGACCTACGAGAAGGGATAGGAAAGAAATGATACTGAGAGCCAAAAGGCATCTCTCAGCTTTGGGATGGCAATTTAGGTATGTATCCCACAATGGAAGGCTTGAGTTGCACTATGAATCACCAAGCGGAAAATTGTTTAATTCACTTCGAATGGCCTGCAAATATTCTATGAATGGAGGAGCTTCCCCTACATTTACACAACTAGAAAGGAAAACTGTCAGCAAGGTAGTTAAGGCACAGGCAGCCACAGAGAAAATATCTTCTGCCTTGAGAAAAATGGGGTCGCAGAAGCTTGAAAATTTTTCTAGTGATTTTTCATGTATATCGAGGTTAAGGAAAACTATGGTGCCTCAAAAATTAAAACTTGGAGGGACTAGACAATTCCAAAAGAAAAGAAAGGAAGGATTACATCTTTCTTTTTTCTCACATCAACAAGAAGCCAATTCAGATGGTCAAAGGTTCCACCCTAAGATGAGAAAAGGAACAAAATCCAGAGGTTTATTCAAATTAAGAAGTAATAAAAATGGTAGTCAGACTAACTGTGTTCTTCGATCACACAAAAGAGTGCAGCAGGTAGTGGTTTCTACTCCCTCACATTTGAAGCCTCGAACCGTCCTTTCTTGGTTGATAGATAATAATGTTGTGCTGCCGAGGGCTAGAGTACATTACTGTAGCATAAAGGGTAGGCGTCCAATTGCAGAAGGGCGTATAACTCGTGATGGGATCAAGTGTAATTGTTGTGGGAAGGTGTACACTCTAAGCAACTTTGAACTACATGTTACTGGTAAATACAGCAGACCAACTTCCAGCATCTTTTTGGAAGATGGAAGGTCTCTGTTAGATTGTCAGATGCAAATAATACATGATGAGATGAGGAATTTTGCAGCAGAGTCACCTGAAATGTTGAAGGGCTCTTCTCATCAAGGTGAAAATGATCACATATGTTCTGTTTGTCACTATGGTGGTGAACTAATTTTGTGTGATCAGTGTCCTTCCTCGTTCCACAAAACTTGCCTCCGCATGGAGGTAAGTTACTTAGTTGTTTTCATTTTACTACTTGCCCAAAATTTCTACAAGTTTCCTATTCTCTTTCTCTTCTCTTTGTAATTGTTCATAGTATATTATTAAAGATATCTGACTAATTTTCTTTTCCATTTTGTTATTCCTTTTGGGATTTCCATAGGACATTCCAGATGGAGATTGGTTCTGTCCATCATGCTGTTGTAAAATTTGTGGCCAAAACAAACTAGAAAGAGACACTCCGCTTTGTGTGGATGATAATTATATTCTTACTTGTACTCAATGCGAGCGAAAATGTTTGTCAACTTCATGTTTTAGCTTAGTTTCATAACTCAATTTATTCTGCTGACATGTTTGAAATATCTCATATGTGCCCTTGTCTATTTGTTGTAGATCACGTTGGATGCCTAAGGATTAAAGGAGAAGATAGCTTCAAATGTTTTCCCAAAGAAAATTGGTTTTGTTGCACAAAGTGTAGAGTGGTACCAAAAATCTCCCTCTTTTGATATATTTCTCTTTGTTTGCGAACAATTCTTATTCTAATTGATTTTTGATTATAGAACAGAAAGCTTTTCACCTGCCCTCCAATTAAAGTATTATACTATGATTTGAATCACTTGCCTTATTAATGATCCTTTTGGGAAACTCATATTGACATCTTGTGAATTATTCCATTTAGTATTTTTCAAAATGTTCCAAAATTGTTTACGAGTGCAAATCTTAGAGACAATACCAATTATATTGAGATAGTGTCCATTTCATCGCCTAAAATTTAGCAAGGGAGATGTTTTGCACATGCTTCTGTTGATACTATTATTGGCAAAGATGAAAATTCCAGTGTTCTATGTATCCTTTCAACAATGATATGATTGGGGATGTTTAGTCTATGTAGTTTGACCCAGATAGAGTAAGTGCTTATCAGGCTCCAAGTCATCAACTGTACTAGTCTTTTTACTCTACCATTTCTATGGTTGTCGCAGTTTCACTAAAAGGAAGCTATTGATAGACAATGTTTGCTCTTTCTAGAATGTCTTTCCTCCATTACTGTATACCCATGGCTATTGCCTTTTCAGTGTCTTTGATGGGGTGGAAGCAGTTGTGACACCAAGGACTTATCAATTGGTAAATGGAGAAAACAGAGAAGTAAAAATGAAAAAAAAATTAACTTTAGAGGAGATTTAATGCGCTTCAGCTTTAGGGCTCTATCCATTGGCATAGACAACAAGGAAGCACTTATCCCTAAAGGTTTTGGTGTTTTATAGTTACACTGTCACTATTGCAATTTGCAGTTGCAGGATTCAGTTAAATTTTCGGAACTTTATGATGTTGATAACATGATCAAAGTAAATGAAAAAGTGCTTTCCATGAGGATATGCAAAATTTTGTTATCATATTGTTACTAGTCTGGACAAGTTTTCTTGGTAGCATTTTGTACTTTTTGTGTTATCCATATGAGGGTGATTGGCCAGTATCGATTAGCATGTTAGTCCTTGAGACTATTGAGTAAAAACATTTGCCTAACATGCACATTTAATGTCCTAGCTTGTTACTTGCCCAAAATAATTTGTGCAGAAACTGAGAAACATAAATGCATATTTTTTCTTGACTCTTCCTTAGGATGCCACTTTTACAATGTATTGTTAGTGATTGTGTTTATTGCAGATTTTCCTGGGCCTCCACAAGCTTCTTGGAAAACCACTTCCAGTGGGTTTAAACAACCTTACTTGGACATTGTTAAAACACATCCAATCTGATGGTTTTAAACTTGATTCTCCTGATATTGAGGCCCTGACTGAGAACTACAGCAAGCTCAATATTGCACTCGATGTGATGCATGAGTGCTTTGAGCCCGTCGAAGAACCTCTCACAAAGAGAGATCTTCTTAAAGATGTTATTTTCAGCAAAGAGTAAGAACTTATTTAGCACAAATTATTCTTAAAGCTTTCTCTTTCTGTTAGGAACTTAGTTTTTTTTGTTTATTTTGCTCCATTCGAAGTAACTTAACAAACACACAAAAAAAAAAACAAAAAAGAGAGAGAGAGAGAGAGAGAGAGAAAGAAAGACTAAATAGAAAAAGGTGCAGAGGAGGACTGGCTATTTAGAGCAGAAAATTTTCTTCCCACTTCCAATCTCCCTTTATTTTTCTTTTTGAAGAAAATTATTCCTTTTTTTCCCTCTTTTTATCCTCTCTTTTTTCGACCTTGTGGGTTTTCCCTGTGCATTGTAATTCATATTTCATTATCATTATCTTTTAAATTAGGACGCGTCGTTCCTATTACTGGTGGCAGCTGATAGCCAATTTTCCTTTCTATGTGATGGCTTGGGTGTTGGTGGGTTTGTGTACTCAAAATCTTGATTTAGGCCCATTTTCTGCCACCCCTAAACCTAAGCTGGTCTCAATTTGCTTTGCAGTTGTTCTTATTTGTAATGGGATTTGTTCTGAATAAGCTATTAGTCAATTAATTTTTATTTTGTTGGGATTTTAATATTTGAACATAATATATTGTTGCGTTGCTAACTTTCAACCGTCTCATAACAAAAGCTGGAAAGAGTTGAATTGTGCTGTGTTTATTTTCAAATTATGGATTGGATCTGCGTTTATGTTATATTGATCCTGGCAAGACCCTTTCAAGTTGGGTAGTTTTTATGGCTGCCACACGTCAGCTTTACAAATTCAGTAGGAAAGTCCTATTATGAGGACATTGATTTCCTTAGGAATTGGAAGCAGGAGTTAACTGCAGTTCCTGTTACTTCTATGAAGTTTCAGGTCTTCCACATCGGTATTCAGAGGATTTTAGGAGATCTGAGAAGTTTTAGAAACACCTGAGTTGCTGGGACTTTAACATGTCATTGGCTTTAAGAACCTATAGCTAGTGTGCTGAAATCATTATCCTTCGCTGCACCACTTTTGCAATTATATTTAAATGATACTTCTTTTATGCATTTTGGTCCTTGGGCGACAATGTTGTTGCTTACAGTTTGATTCTTGTTGTTTCAACTTTTCAGGTCAAAACTTAACCGTCTGAACTTTCGAGGATTCTACACAGTACTTCTGCAGAAGGATGATGAATTTATTACTGTGGCTACTGTAAGGTAAGTTTTGTTGTTTCTCTTTCTCTTAAAAATGATAAATTTCATGGGTGCAAAGATCTTTCTTGAGCTTTTTTATGTTTTATGTTAGATAATGGGAACATGAAAATTTTATTTCCTGTTCAAGGGTCTATGGCGAGAAGGTGGCGGAAATACCACTTGTTGGTACTAGATTTCAGTATCGTCGACTTGGAATGTGTCGTATATTAATAGATATTCTGGAAAAGGTAAACATCTGTCCTTATACAAGAGAGTTTGTAGGCTGGGATTTTTTTTTTTTCTTTTTTTGCATTCTTTGTGAGGATCCTTATTTGGCTCAAGTGTTTTACCTCTAACTATATGCAAAATTTCATGGATATGCATCTTACAAAGATTTTATCAAACTATAGTGGCTGAAATTTGTCATCATTTCAGCTAGTAGGAGTAGAATGATTCTGTTGTAGCCAATTGGCACACAGCAGTACAAATTGTTCCAGCAGAGTTAGTTCCAAACTCAAGATTTGAGACAATTGAAGTATTGTTTTGGTTTTGAGGTAGCCAGATCTCAATCAGGTATAGAGTTTAACCTGATGACACACTAAGATAAGTATTATAAAATGGAAATTATGCATATCCTAGGAAGAGGCCTTGTCTTAGGGATAGGGAATGGGTTTTATATGTAAGAATAAACCAAAAATATCCTAGGGATCTATTATGTTGAATTTTCCTTTTCTGGAAAATTCTCACTGTGTCCTTTTCTCTTTTTGTTTCCTCAGAAGCTCATGGAATTAGGAGTTGAGAGGCTCATTTTGCCTGCTGTTCCCAGTGTCTTACCTGCATGGACCGGTTCATTTGGGTTTACAAAAATGACAGACTCAGAGAGATCAAAGTTTTTAGATTACACTTTCTTGGATTTCCAGGATACTATAATGTGTCACAAGCTCTTAATAGAGATTCCCTGTTCTGAATCAAGCACTTCAAGAGGTTTTTTTTGTATGCTCAAGTTGCATTCTTTGGAGTAAATAAATTACTGGTCTTGTCATATTAACTGTCAACGTGTTTCTGTAGTCCATTTTGTAGAAGTCCAACCTGGACACCACAATGATGCTAGTGGAAGTGCTCACACTATTGATCTTGATGGATCTAGGGCCATCTCTGCTGCATTTGAAGCCGATCGAATGAATGGTGGAATTAAAGAACAAGGACAAAAAGAGTATGTGCTTTTTCTCACTTAAGTTATATAGAAATAGAAATTCAACAAAGAAAGAAAAAGAGAAACAAAATTCAACGATTTAAATTATTTTCTCCTATGCAAAAAAATACTAGTAAAACTTTGTGGTTAACTGAGGTATGAAACTAGAAAGAAAGGTGTCACTGAGAAAGTTCTTGTTTGAAAGCTCTTAATGTCCAAATCTTGCATGTAAATGTGATTAATTAACTCTAATGTATTTAGAAAGGGTAGTGGCACTCTGGCTATATTTATTCATGAAACTACTGTAGAAAAGACTTTGATAACTCATGCAAAAATTAGTAACTGCTTAATTTTTAGGCCTGTTTGTTAACGTTTTTTTTTTTCCGACACTTATAGGATGAATTGAGGACTCTAATTTCATTTAATAGCAAGATATGCAGATTTTAAAGCTTGATCTTAGATAGTAATAATATCATAATTTGTTTATAACCAGTATTATTTGTGTCCAGTTAATTTATACTTGACTACCTGATACTTAATTCCTTCAATAAATTGTAGCTTAGACTTCATTGTTATGTCTACATGCTTTTGCATAGACAGTTATATGAATTGCTTGAATATTCTCCAATATAAAGATTGATGAAGCTTGATCGACAATTTTATGTAACATTGTGGTTCTTGTTAAGGGGGGTGGCTCCAGTATAATGGTAAATTATTTTACATGTGACCTGGAGGTCATGAGTTCGAGCTATAGAAACAGACTCTCTGCAAAGGCAGGAGGAATGCTGACTACATCATACCTCCCTATGACCTGCTATTGTAGGATGCTTTGTTTATAGTTCTTGTCGAGTACAAAACAAAGCTCATAACATATTCAGAAGTGAAAGGCTTATTATCCTCCAAATACTAGGCTATATACTGTGATGTTTGAGCACATGAATAACTATACTCATAAATTAGCTTGAATTTTTGTGTGTGTTTGTGAGAGGGAGAGAGAAAGAGATGAATGAAAGATGTAAGAACTTCAGTTATTAGGGGTAATATTTGATTAACTAAACCAAACTAAGATGAATTTCAATTAATTGAAATTTTTTAGAACTTCTAGAATAATAACCGAATTGAATTAAATTAATACGAAACACAAATATAACCGGCGAGGTTCAGTTATAACCAAAATCACTGATTAATTATAATTTTGTACACTATTAGTAAAAATATAATTTTAGTTACATGCGATTAAAAAAGTTATTATAAATAATAATTAATTAATGAAAAAATTATAATTTATATATATAATTAATAAAAATTGTACATAATTTGCTGAAATTACCTTCATTAGTCAAAGGAAGTCTTAGGAGTTCGTCTATTAAGCCTTTAGATTATTCAACTATGAAGAACCTTGTTTGGGCCACTTCTAATTTCATGCCTGAAAATATGGTAGGCAAAGGTGGGTCATACTCTTGTCTACTAAGTCCTGGTCATACTCTTGTATACAAAGTCTCCCTTTGTGATGGTAAGGAATTGGCAGTGACAATTTTGAAGCTATCTGAAGATACGTTAAAAAGAGAACTATAGTTAATCATATGAAAATTAGCTTTTTCAATCTTGATCCTTGAGGACAAGGATCTCAAAAGGGGAGGGTAATTATTAGGAGACAGTCCATCGAGTAATGGCATATGTAGCTGTTGAGTTGTGATATAAATAAGCAACTCTTGTAAATGATGGATAAAGTTTTGATATAAATAATGCTCTGTTTCTACATTCTTTTCCTTCTCTTTCTCTGCCATTCTTCTCTTTTCTCAGTTAAACAAGGGTTAGGGAATTGCATATCTGCAATTCCTAACATGAAGTTAATAAACCTAGTTTTCCTTACTAGTTACTGTTTAGATTTATCAAATTTTCTTTTAAGTGTGATTTGGCCTAGCTATAGAAAACATCAGCACCAAGACTTTGTAATGCTTGCTTCTTCGAAGCTATTGGACTAATTAATTGCTGAATATTGGACACCCTATACTCTTTTGTTTGGAAAACTGGTATAATTTATTTTCCCTTTTTATTTCCTGCTCATAATTTCTATGTTCTGGAGTTGCTTACAATGCTTTATAGTACTGACCTTTTCTATTCTACCAGTGTTGCTGCAAGCAATAGCAGTAGTGATATCATTGATGAGCTCATTCATCAAGAAGCTATGGTACTCGAATCTGTGCCTGAGTAGCCATCTATTCATTTCTGTTGTATTTGTCTGCAACTTGTTTTTCCTCCTTTTGACTCATTGTTTGACATGTTTCTTGTCAATTAGGTAAACCCGACTGATCCTCACGGCGAACCTTGCACTAGCGAAGCAGGTCTGGTCCGTCTGGACTGCTCAGTTGAGGATTGCACCTTGAAGGAGGAAAGGGAGAATGGTAATGATTCAAAGACTTGGAATGTTGAAAGCAGATATGACAATGTGGATTTGAAGTGCTATAAAAGAAGAAAGATATTACCAAAATCGAAACCATAATCTGTGCCCTGGTGAGATAAAATGTTGAAGTGTCTCACTAATTTTGCTTTGCAAGCTAGTATATAAAATTCTTTTGTAAAGGATATCAATGGAAAGAATAGATAGACGAGACAGCTCTTTTTTTTTCCCCCTTTTCCTCGGTTAGAAGCTGAAAGTAAGAGTGTAGAAAGACAAACACGAGATACCGAGCTCTTTGTTTTCTTCTTCTTACACAAAAAGAATAATGTTTTCTATGCTTTTTTTGGTTTTGATAAGACTAATTATGTTTAGGTTCTTTCTTTGTGTCGTCTTTGGATAGTTGTGCAATATGTAGCTTTTTGATCCGTCAAAATACTAAACGCAATTTTTTACAGTGTTCTAATAAAAAAAGCTAAACACTATTTGTTCAGTAACACTGCATTTGAACTAGCTTTTAGAGGATAAGATAACATTTTATAACATTTTATAAAAATTAATTCGTGTAACGTTTAGCTTTTAAGTTTTATGAAAAGCCGAACAGTAATTTTACTGAATAGACTTTTATATAAGTAATAGCTAAACGCTATTAAATCAAAAATTAATTATTAAAATAATTAAATTTACTAAAACAGTTATCCGATGCAATTTTTATAAAATATGTATGTACCATCGATACTAACCCTAATCCAGTATCAATCCTATCAATACTAACGGATCCAATATCAATTCACTTCATAATACAGTTGTTTAGATAAAATGTATTTTAACAAACGAGCTTCAATTTGGCTAGATAATGAAAATCTCTAATTTGCAAACCCAATTTATCTCATTAATAACCTAGTAAAACTCAAAATTAGTGAAGGAGATAAGCTTTAGAAGAAGAAAGGAGTGTTTTACAATCTACCTGATGGCATGTCTTTGCGAAAAAAGGATTAGTTTCACCAACATCCATGGCTGCCTTTATAGCAATCAAGAGCACAACAATTTGTTTTCTGATGGTTTAAAACTTTACCAACACTAGAGAGGAACGGAGGAGACAAATCATTCTCTCGCTGTTTTTTTTTTTTTTTTTTCCCCAAAATACAATCTAGCCTTATCGGCATTGTCTTTGCAAAAGAAGGATTAGTTCCACCAACATCCATGGCTGCCTTTATAGCCCAATCAAGAGCACAATCCCAATTTGTTTTCTGATGGGTTTAAAACCCTTTTACCAACACGTAGAGAGGAACCGGAGAGCACAAATCATTCTCCTCCCGATGTTTTTTTTTCTTTTTTTTTTTTGCCCGGAAATAAAACTAACATTTTTACTGATGCCAGAAATTTTTCCCTCCCCGCTTTTTGCATTTAGGAAAGTCCGTTAAATGATAAAAAATTTAATGGGACGGTTACGGCGGTACAGGGTTGGAGACATGAGAAGGACGATTCTAACCTTATTTTTGCCGAAAAATTGTGATATTATAGGGGATGGAGGCCGGATCTATGCCCCGGCCGTACCGTGCCACCGTAGCCGTTGATGCAGGTTAACAGAAGTTTAAATTCGAAAACCTTGCCAACCCAAATCTCCATTGTTTGTCAAAGAAAACTTTACGGGGAGGAGGTCCCATCTTTCTTGCAAAAGCTTCAACAGCATAAGAACGGTGATTAATGGTCCATTGGTTTTCCCTGTTCTAGGGACTCTTTCTACATTCTAGTTCATGGAAGAACTCGAAACCCAAGATATACAGTTAGCAATGCAACTTCTATATGGGTTTTCTCCCTTTTACTTGGTCTCCATATCGAGCCAAAGATTTTTCATGGCTGCAAAGTTTACAGACACGATCTGTTCAGGGAGTCTCCCCACCAGACACGTTGATATCGCTTTTCCCCTTGTCCTCAACCTTAAGTACCCCTTCTTCCTTTAACTGTTTTTTTTTTTTTTTTTTGCCCGGAAATAAACTAACATTTGATGCAGAATTTTTCCTCCCCGTTTTGCATAGGAAAGTCCGTTAAATGATAAAATTAATGGACGGTTACGGCGGTTACAGGTTGGGAGAATGAGAAGACGATTGTAACCTTATTTTTGCCGAAAATGTGATATATAGGGGATGGAGCGGCGTGATGAGGTTAACAGAAGTTTAAATCGAAAACTTGCACCCAAATCTCCATTGTTGTCAAAGAAACTTTACGGGGAGAGTCATCTTTCTGCAAAAGCTTCAACAGCAAAGAACGGTGATTAATGGTCCATGGTTTCCCTTTTAGGACTCTTTCTACATCTAGTTCATGGAAGAACTGAAACAGATACAGGTTAGAATGCAACTTCTATATGGTTACTCCTTTTACTGGTCTCCATATCGAAGCCAAAGTATTTTTCATGGCTGCAAAGTTTACAGAACGATCTGTTAGGAGTCTCCCCACCAGACACCGTTGATATCCTTTTCCCTTGTCCTCAACCTTAAGTACCCCTTCTTCCTTATGAACTTCCAGCGAAATCTTACCACACAAATCTTCAATTGATCGACTAGAAAAACTGCAAAAACAAAAACGGGCCAATTGAGCCCAAATTGAGGCCCTTATGGTTTTAATTAGGCCCACGAACTTAAACTTCGACTATTAGGATAAGCATAATTTGGGCTTACATTTTGATCAAGCCCAACCATTCAAGTTTAGTTTTTTCTATCCAATTTTCTCTCATTAAACCGATTTGGTTTGGTTTGGTTTAATTTTTAAGTTGCTCGTTTCGGTTTGAATTTCAATTTAGAAAAAAAATTGATTTTTTTCAGTTTACTATTTTGTAATGAGGCGGCTGAAACCCACAAAAGTTGTATAAAGTTCCACTTTATGAAATTAAAGTCTTAGAAAGATAATTCTTCAAAAAGGAAAAGAATGATGTTCTGTTCAAGTGCATGAAGTAAAGTAAGGAACTTTTTTTTTTTTTTTGTTTTTACTTTCAATGGATGTTTCTTTTGTATAAGCAATAAAGGGCTAAAATTGTTAAAATTTTTAAAAAAGCATAGACAGTAATTAATTTTAGCTCAATGTAAGGGCGTAATAGTAATTTTATCTACACTAATTCCCTCCTCATTCTCCTTCGTTAACCTTTCCTTTTCCTTCCTATTCCTGTCTTTTCTTTACCCAAACAAAGTGTTAGGGCTGTGTTGTGCTTCTCCAATAAATTGCAGCTACAACCAATGGGCTTTCTCTTCAATCTTCATGAATGCTTTTTATTAGTATGTCTTTTTCGTAATTGGTTTTCTCTCTGTCATTTTTCCACTTTTCAGGAAAACTTTTTTAAATTAATACCTGTCTGCTAAACAGTTTCACACAGCTTTATGGAATTGAAATCTAACCTCACAGCCAAACCCACCTCCATATCCCAATGATTCTTTAACTCACGTGAGCCTGAGGACAGAGCCAATCACAGTTATCTTCACAACACAACAAAAATCGAAAAACCTCTTCCTCTTGCGATTCCCATTCCTTACTTTACTTTTTCTTTCCTTTCCTTTCCTTCCTTTTTCTCTCTCAGATCAAACACCTTTTTCTTATCCTTCCTTTGAAATGCATTGTTGTTGTTGCAGATATCTATTTCCATGGCGCTTGGCAATTTTTGTATGTTTAGTTTCACATTTACTAGAATCTCAAATGGCTTCTTCAGCTTTGATATTGAGCTTGAGAAACCACCATAACAAGCATCATAACAGAAGCCCAATGTTTCAAGCTAATCGAAGCTCTTGTGCTTTGTTCGTAGGCACTTGGGTTCCAGATCACACTTATCCTCATTACCAATCTTCTAATTGCCCCATTATAGATCCTCAGTTCAATTGCCAATCCTACGGTCGACCTGATTCCGATTACCTCAAGTACAGATGGCAGCCATTGAATTGCGAGCTTCCAAGGTAATAATACTGTTTAATTTTATTTTTGTTTTTGAAAAAATTTATTTATTCTGGTATGTTTGATTTTGTAGATTCAATGGTGTTCAGTTTTTGGAGAGAATGGAAGGGAAAACAATAATGTTTGTTGGTGACTCTTTGGGAAGGAATCAATGGGAGTCTTTGATTTGTATGATTTTAGCTTCTGTGCCTGCTTCAACTTCTACACAGATGAGCAGAGGAATGCCTCTTTCCGTCTTCAAGTTCTTGGTATTTTCTCTTTCTTCTTCTACAATGTCTGTGAAAATCAGATGAGTGGTCATTGGTGGGTAATGATTGTATACTTGCAGGAGTATGGAGTGGTGATTCAATATTACAAAGCTCCATACCTGGTAGACATAGATGTGGTGCAAGGGAAGAGAATCCTAAGACTAGAGGATATATCCGGCAATGGCAATGCTTGGCGAAACGCTGACGTTTTGGTGTTTAACACAGGTCATTGGTGGAGTCATCAGAACGCTCAACAAGGGTGGGATTTTTTAACTTTATACTCTCCGTTCCGTTTAATTTGACAATTTTTGATTTTTTTAATTTTCTTTAGATATATTATTAAAAAATTAAAAAAGTACTCACTTCTCTTTAAATTATAAATATTTTTAAATAATTATATTATTTTAAAATATAAATAATTTTTAATATTTTCAAAGAGTAATAAATGATATTTTTTAATATTATCTTTATTATATACTATAAACAGTCTTTATTTTCACAACTTACTCTTAATTTTGAGATTGGTCAAATTATTTTTGGTTTTATTCCTTAATTTTGGTGCGATAATATTATGAAAGGAAACACGGGTTAGTATTAAATTTTATTTTAATTAAATGAACATGGTAATTTAATTAAATATTTTTTTAATTTTATAAAAAGTCGAAAATTGTCAATTAATAAAAATCAAAAAGTGATATTATTATTAATAAAAAAAATGAACAGGTGGGATTACATGGAATCAGGAGGCACGTACTACCAAGACATGGACCGGTTAGTTGCTTTGGAGAAAGGGCTAAGAACATGGGCCAAGTGGGTTGACTATCACATTGACTCTTCTACAACTAGAGTGTTTTACCAATCCATCTCTCCAACACATTACGAGTAAGTATCCATCTGTCTCTCCCTCTCCCTCTCTCTGCATTTGTGGCACCAAGCACTAAAAAAACACAGTCCAACCTTAGCTGTAATCACTAATAGAGCTATTAGTGGACCCAAAATTGTCTATTCTTGTCCAAGGACTTGAATAGATTAGATTTTTTTTTTTTTTTTTAAAGAAAAAGTTAAAATGGCCATGCTCTGTTACTCACATTTACTGGCCGTAGACGAGCCAAATTTGAGGTCAGGAGTGGTGGCCCGGGTAGGACTCGGCCTGAATCAAACTCCATTGCTAAGCCCAAGACTGGCCTTGGAGCCAGCATGGCCCAAATTTATATATTTTTAAATTATTATGTTAAAACTAATTTATAAATTATACTATAGTATAAATAATAGTGTTTGTTTTAATTATTTATTGGAAGGTTCAATGCTTCAAACTACATTATTAAGTTTTCTCTTTTGCGCCAAAAGATAAGTCTTTTTTCTAGGTGATTTTTTTATTTTTAAATATAAGTCGTTTTAAGTTTTTTTTTTTTTTTGGATGTCATTTTGAGTATTTTAAATAGTAACAAAAGATGTTTTTTCGATATTATATTTTTAATTTTGAGATAGCAAATTATTTTTAATTTTATTATGATTTAAGAAAATTAATTATCTTCTTAATCTCTGTATGAAAACTTCGAACAACAACTTATATTTACGACAGAGAATAGAAAATAAAAGTGTTTTATTCTTTAATAGTTTATATGTTTATTACTTTTAAAAATAATAAATTAATAAAGAAGGAACATAATTTTCAATCAATCAAAATCCAGTTTTATAAAATAGAAAAGTCCAAATATACCGACAAGCTCTAACGGTCAAATCAGTAGTACTAACAGAATCACATGCATGCCATATTGTCGGACCATTACTATCAGATTTGGCCTTATCATATCTCAAGTGTCATTCGCTGAATCACTAATTGAATTTGAACAGTCCAAACGAATGGAGTGCGGGGCCAGCAACAGCAATAGGGACAAGAAATTGCTATGGCCAAACAGCACCAACCACAACTATTGGAACAATGCCTCCAGGAGAATATCTTGACCAAATGAGGGTTACAGATAATGTGATTAGAGATATGCATAACCCTGCTTATTTGCTGGACATTACAATGCTATCTGAGCAGAGAAAAGATTGCCACCCATCAATATATAGCGGTGACTTGAATCCTCAGCAGAGGGCTAACCCTGATAGATATGCTGATTGTAGCCATTGGTGCCTTCCTGGACTTCCTGATACTTGGAATGAATTATTTTATACTGCTTTGTTCTTTTAACTACTAATTTCTAATTATATATTGTTAGAAGATGCATAATTGCAACCCTCAGAATTTTATAGCTTAATCAAATCCTAGCGTTATAGATTTTCTATTTGTTTTAAATGTTAGCTAATTACTTTACTTCCTTTACTTCTGTAAATCATATTATTTGCCAGTAGAAATGACAGCTTAGTTTATTTCTCTGTGTATTTTTTTTATTCAAAGAAACTCCCTAATGACTGGATAACAGGATAAGTAAGTTCTCCTTTCATTTTCATGTCCTTCGTCTAATCGTTATCCAAAACACCAATACCAAACTCCATTTGTCGGCCATATGAAGCACTCGCATTGAGCTATAGTCTAACAGTAAGGTACTC